GACTTTTTTCATTATCACTGATATTTTAAGATAGAAAATCAAAATAAAGTAAAAATTGGAAAATTAATAACTGGAATACAATATCGATTTCGAGTTATTCTTGTTGATCATAATTTCTTTGTCAGTAATTCAGCAATAAGCGACTGGATTGAAATTCCTATTACGCATTATAACGTTAAGCAGCCAGGTATTAAGTTTATTAAGGTACTATTTTCTTGAACCTGCCAACAATTCGAATATTTGTTATCAAATTCTTTCTTTGGGAAATTTTTCATCATTGTTAAATTTTTACATAATGATTAAATTTGCAGTGAATTAATTGAATTTGCAGTGAATTAATTGATTTAAAGATAATTAGTGATAAAAAAATTCCAGTTGGTCCATTATCGATAAAATACAAAGGAAATATGGATGGGCTTTTCGCCGTATTAACCTTACCAATGGATGTTCATAATGGTTTACCAAGATGCTCATATCATATCACAGTTGAGAGCGATTATCGCATTTATAAGAGGAATTTCACGATTGTACCGTTCATTCTTCTATTGTTTTTATCATTTTTGCTTAAGTTCCACTTTTCCTTTAATAACAGAGATGTACGTTGCTTCAATTTACAACAAGTAGTATTTTATTTCTTCAATGAGCAGAGGAATTTCTCGAAAAATCTAAACCTACCACGGCAAATGAAATGCTGCAAACGTGGTTGCTGAGCAGCCCTTTGCACCATCATCACCGAAAAAACTTCCAAAGAGCTAAGCATTAGTGAAGGCAGTCAAACAGGAAGCGATACATGCTGTAATTTACACTGGAAAGGATATTAAACATTTCTTTATAGACAATCCCACTTCTTCCACAAAGAATAATTTTCTGTTCCGATTTTTTTATTAATAAAATAAAAATTTTAATCCCTAGAAAAGCACAGTTTCATTGGTTTTATATTTGTTTTTATATTTCTAATTTCTAAGGTTAGATTTTATAAATTCGTCCGTTTTTTTCTAAGGGCAACCATTTCTGGCTAGGTTCGCCCCTCTAATTTGTTAATTTTAGGATGAAACTAACGCAATATTGCTACCAAATTTGAATTTCTCTAGTCAATATGAGATAAAATTATATGCAGGAAGCCTCGATAGGAATAATTTATTACTGGTTCCTCCATATAAGGAAAATATTAAAACGCCGTCATGCAACGAAATATACGGTCATCGTACTTTAGAATGTGGTTAGTGCTGCTCTTTTCTTAAGTCGAAATTGTTTTCAAATGCGTAACGAAGAAATCCTTATCATTCTTATCAACTTAATGTGATGCGGGTGATAAGTTATACAATTTAAATATGAAGAATTAATTTAGTGAAAAAAAATACATTCGAACATTAAATTGGAGATATTTGTTAATAATATAGTGGCAAAAATATGTGAATTGCAAATTGGTGATAAAAGTCGTTTTTAGGCCCACAAAAGATATCGAACTTATCTATAAAAGATTTTCCTAATGGAAAAATAAATATTGTTTGGTCGAAGGAATTATTTCCCGAATATGTCTTATTTTATCGCTTAATTTATTATTCAGTAAGCAATAATAATTATTGCAATAACAGCATTAATGCTATTAATATTGAATCGGTTCGTTTCTTTTCATTTCTATGAAAATGAAAATATAAAAAAATATTTATTCCTATTATGCTAAAATGCTTATTTTTGGAAACGAATTGGTGAGTGGAGTGGCTTAGTGGGTCACTGTTATTTCGAGAGCGTCGGTGCTGTGGTGCTGGTGCTAGAAGTGAGCTTGTCTTTCAACTCGGGTGCACCTCTTCGCTGTCAAATAACTCCACATAACACAATTTATTTGTTCCGAAATGCCGGGGCAAATCCTAATCAGAAATGGTAATTCCTAGAAGAAAATTAATTGGCGAAAAATTGGGATTCATAAAAACTTGGAACATTTCTTTTTTCAGACATCAAATAATGTCAGCATAAATATAACTGATAATGATTGCGAATACAAAATAAAACTAATCAAATACGATCTGTTAGGAAGAGAATCAGCTGAGATCTTATTTTATCACCGTTATCATGGCAAACACCATTATTATCAAAATCTATTTATCTCCTTCATTTGTACATTTGTTGTTTTGTTATTTTTATTCATTTCATTATCTAAATTATTTTTTCGTTTAAAAATCAGTTTAATACATTCAAATTTGAGGATAATTTAATAATCACAAAAATTTTTTTAACAAATTCTGCCAGTTTTGCCAACTTGCTAAAATCTGAATTGAAAAAGCACTGTATGAAGATCTTCAATATTTGCAAATAACCACCCAAATTTATTTTAAAAATTCGACAAAACTAGTTCTCAAAGCCTACGTTTCACTCAGTGCTTCTGGATGCACTACGTTTAAATACTTATTGCTGTCCTTACATTATCTTTTCCTTAAACAATGATAAATGTTATTTGCTATAATATAATAGTATTATTTCCTTGAACTCGCACAGCACCGCAAAATTTCTTCACAAATTAAATTACTGGAACATTTAATGTTTTCTCAACCAAATGAAGCAAATAAAATGGATATTTATTTTTTAATTGGAGAAATCGACGTTATTAAAGCATCAGTTTTATTTCGCATTCCCATTTTAATATAAAAATATTTTGCGTTCGAAAAAATAACTTTTTAATAATCTTACCAAACGTCGAATCACGTCGAAATTGCTCAATTTTTTATCCAAAATAAAAATAAGATCAAAAATAAATTAGATGATAAACAATGAATAAAGCCAAATTTGCACCAAAAAAGCACCACATTTACACCATAAAAAAGTTTTCTTTTTTTCAATTTATTTCAAATTTAGTCTCATGAAAAGTGTAAAAATTTTCTTCGAAGTATTATTTAAAAATAATAGAAAAATCAATAAATAAAATTAGGAGAAAAATAATTGAAAAATTAGCGAAAATAACCATCGAATCGTTCATCTTAATAAAATAGTCAAATAAAATGAAAAACAATAATAGAACCAAACGAAACAAAATAAATCATTAATAAAGTAAGATAATTTATTAACAAATAGTTTTCTTTTGAAAAACAATCATTTAAATGTAAATTTATGAGAAATGTACGGGCAAAATTTTACCCAAACGATTTTATTCCACCAAAAAAAGCATAAACCCATAAATTCCCATAGTGAATAAATAAATAAATAACATAATTTCAGATCCTCTCAAAAAATAGCCAAAATAAAAAAAAAAAAACAAAACTAAACAATGATTTAAAAATATGATATGATTTATATGATTGAAGAGTAATTCAAACAGAAATCGAAAAAAATAATGCAGAAATTTCAAGAAAAAAACTGGACTGAACAACAAATTTTCACAACCACTGTATTTAAAGTGAATAATGAATCGACAAAAAACAACTGAAAATAGAAGTATATTTCATGGATTTTCTCCGGAATAAAATTTGCAAAAAATATTTGCGAAAAAATCTAAAAAATTCTAAAATACGACAAAAAAATAAAAAGTGATAACAGCAGTGATAACTGGGTAACAATACTAATAACTCGAATAAACTACGAGAATCCGAATAATCTCTCAAATTTTTCAACCCAACTTAAAAAAAAAAGACATTAAATGATATTTCTGAAAAGCTCATTTAACTGTGCTATCGTAGAGTATAAGATGCAATTACCATGATGGCTTTTCATGAACGAACGAAAACACAGAAAATCATAACAAAATCAGAATAATTTGATTCTTTTTCTTAAATAAAATAAATAAGGATAATAGCAATTTGATATTTTCTGTCAAACTATATCTTACCAAATTATAACTTTTCCACTTTTCCCAATCACTGTTTACTGTTTCAATAATTCTATTAGGCTATTATTATTAGGCTATAAGCCTATTAATAGGCCCTATTTTATCAAAAGAAAAAAATCAAAAAATAACTGAAAGAGCAAAATTCTAATATAGCAAAACTAATAAAATGCAATACTAATAACTCATGATAATTCCTTTGGCAAATCTACCCTCGATAATTAAACTTGCATTCACTTAATACTCCTTCGAACTCTAACGCACGAATGTGACATTAGCCAGATCCATCTAATTTTCTCCATACCTCAAATTCCATACTACTCATTGGATATCCAAAGTAACCACGATTTTGTTCTTTGCAATAAAATTTATTGCAGCCATGATAAAGTGCATTATGACGAACAAACAAAGTTTGGGAGAGTTAAAATAATTTAAAATGATGTTAGTAAAAAATTTCAATGAAAGTGTAAGGAATTTTCGATGTTCAAAAGATTTTTGACAGAAAAGACAGGAGAAAAAAGAAAAAGATTCCGAAGGTGAAGAGTTTTTGGCGAGTTGGCAGTGGAGATGCCTATAGTTTAATAATAAGCCATAAGCCATACTATCTGCTTATTAAAAAGAATGCGGTGCATTTTCTCTGATATATCTGTTAACATAGCAAATGTAGACACATGCTGCAGAATGTCGCGAAATGGCGAAGGCAAAAAACTATTGTGGGGTATAGATTTGAATCAGATTATTATCAGAAGAAATTAATGAAGAGAATGAATCGATAAATTCAAATTATAATAAGTTGGGAATAGAGATAAAAAAATGATGGCTTGACTGGGGCAAGAAAAAACTTCCGATATCGTTAAATGGCTCAATGGAGATAAAAAAACCAACAAGAGTGGAAGTGCACCGACCCCACAAGCAACCTTTTGTTTCGAAACAAATGAGAAATATAATTCTTATAAACTATTCTAAAATAAAAGAATTCAAAAACGATTGAATTCGATTTAAAAAAGCGGAAAATATGTCAAATGTCCATAAAAGCAAATTTAACTGCAATAGAAATTTAATCTATGAAATTTTTTTAAAAAATTTCTTTTGAAATATCGTAAATTTCATGTAATCTTCTATCAAAGCAATAAAAAAATTTTAAATTGCTTATAACTGTTTGATACCAGAAGAATCGAACATATAGTTATATTTTATAGTTATTGTAGTAGAAAGTTTTCCAGAATTTCGTTCTATTCCTTCGATATTTTAAATATATTGCGAGAACAAAAATTGCAACGATTGATAACCATACAAAGTATAGTGAGCGAATATCAAGCGAATCGCTTATAAATGATTCTGAAAAAAATTGATCATAAAAATATTTTCTAAATTTCTGAGAGATAAGGAAAGATTTTCAATATATATTTTCATTGCCTTTTTAATATCTTTTAATGTCTCTTTGAAAAATCTGAGTTCATAAATTACGTATTCATTTCCTTTCTGGAATTACAATCATACCTTGACGTTTTAATAAATCTTCGCTTTCTTCCAAATAATCCACAAAATCGACTCCAACAACCAATTTCGGACTTGGTCGCCTATTATAAATTCTTTGAAGTCGGCCTTTCTCAAATTCTTTAATTTCATACTCAGGCATTGACTGAAAATCCACTTCAATATTAAAAAAGAAATTAAAGAAATAATATTAAAAAATATTTGAGAATTATTATTGAAAAAAGCATCGAAAACAACCTCAATAAAATCGGTTTTTATATTGGAATAGTAATCAATTAAAAATTTAAGAGTTTTTTCCTCATTATAATTGCCATCAGCAGTTTGACAAATTGGACACAAAGATGGAGGAGGGAATTGCCGTTTCGAAAAAACCGGGTCGTTACTATCTTCCATTGACAAACGTTTATTAATTTTATTATGAGCCATCCATAACCACAGAATTCCTTGTTCTAAAAATGGAACAATGATATTTCAAAATACTTTCATTTCAAGTCAAATTGATCTTTTTCACAAATTTGACCATATAACTTTGTGCGAAATAAAATAATTTCTATGAAAATTTTTATGAACGAAGAACAAACCAGGCCGTACGATGTTACTTAAATCCACTTTTGAGATATGATAATGAAAATTTTTTCCACATTCTTCACAACTTAGGAATCGATAAATAAACTGGTGAAAAGGTTCGATTATATCTCGAGCGGCATTAAAACTTTCATCTGCAAAGAATAAAGAAACCAATTTGTTTTAAATTTAAATGGATTCTCAAATTATATTTCTTCTATGATAAATAAAATGTGGTGAAAATAATCTTAGTGAAATTTCATTACGACGAAGTTCCAGGAAAAAAAATTCGCTACGACAAGATTAAATTTATAACGATTATCGATTTTTTTATCTGATATGCTAGCCACCGCAGGTTAACAAAGACCTTGGAAATTTTTCCTAATGAGATTTGCGTTATATCGAAGTTCGAGATTTCACTAAATACTGAGGATATTAAAGAACATTTGACGAACTTCCTTTCTCAAGTTTGTAAGCGTCAACTGTAACTACATGAATTATTGTCCACAATCCACATGTATAACCACGATAATGAGGTTTCGAACCACGACATGCTAACCAAGTCCGGTTATTTGGTAATGGATGACCAAGATCCATCTAAAAAATTATTTATGAATTCGTATAAGCTTCATTTTTTAAGGAATGAATATACTATAATATACTAGAATGAATATATAAAAAATAACTAAAAAACTTTAAAAGTACCTGCAATGAATCTATTTCTAGCAACCAGTCTTGCGCGATAATAGAATTCTTCGGTTTAAGCCATTTGTTTAACCGGTAAAATAATCTACGAATTGGTATTGTTCCAGGCGCATACTGAAATTATTTTTAGCAGCAATTATATAAGTCTAATAGACCAGAGAGTTCCTTAGGATGGTGACATTGATCAATAGCAGAAGCAATTTTAATTTTAAGTACAAAATGACCAAAATGTTATATAATACCTTCTTAAGTAGCTCAATCCAAGCTTTCAATGCTTTAAAATCATCACCGCTTATAACTTGCCTTCGAGGGATTTCCTCCTTTAGCATATAATACATAGCTGACAATATATCCAAAAACTGTACCTAAAAATGCAGATTTCCATTTAACCTCACAGCAAATCGACTAAACTATAAAGTACTACAAATTACATTTAAATACTATAAAGAACAATAATTTTAAAGAATCTTAACAGACTTCATGCTGGTTCCATTGTGGTTTGATAGTCCTCGGTTCAACTACCACAGTATCAACAGGTACAGAAGGAGGGATCTGAAAACATAGAGAATGACACACAAAAAAAAATTTTACAAATTACACATAACACATAAAGAAATTTATGAACTATTTGATAGATGACAGATTCTAATAGATTTTCAAAATTCCACGATGAAATATTCGTGTCAAAGAAGAGGAACAGGTTTGATACAACTGGTTCATTGACAAGTTTGTGTGCCTTTTGGATCATTAATCACCCAATAATTTGCAATTATTTTCATAATATAATTAATATTTAATTAGGAACCAAACAGGAACTGATAAAAGAAAACGAACCAAACTTTGCGAAGGTAATGATGGCACAAGTTCATCAATTTTTTGCCTTAAATGCAACCAGGTCACGTTATCCCTTCAAATTATTGATATTAAATTATTGAAAAATTTTAAAAGTAATATAAGAATACAATGAGGATAGAATGGCTCAGTGAGTTGTTGCTCAATTGAGAGCGCCGATGGTGATTCGATTCCCTGCAGGAGTAAACCTGTACAAAAATCCGGGTGATGCTGGTGACTCACCTGTATTTCTATCGTCAAGGGACTCCCTGGCATATTGCACAATGCGACAAGCCAGTGGAGTGAGTTTAACCAGTAATGGCCTAAAAAAAAAGAAATATAACAATAATCGACAAATATTACAAATTACTTCAATGTATAAAGCGGATATTGATTTTTTCTTTGAAAAAGATGAAGCGCTCCTTTTTGGAAATTTGCTACTAAAGGATTACCAGCTTCAACTGTTAAAAATTTTATTCGAATATCATTCGCAAAATTTATCATCAACTGAAAAAAAAATAATGAGAATGGAAAAGAATTCATTAAAAAACTCTTTACTTAAATTTATTTATCAATATAATAAGTTATAATATTTATCATTATAATAAGTTTTATTTATTTCATCGGGCGTAGGCAATACTCGGAATGTTCAGCAAATATCAAAGAGCGATAATAGAGTAATAGCTTTTTGAAAACAAAAACATTGGTAAAAATGATTACATTGAAATCTTATTTATAGAGTTTTACATCTCAGTTGGACAAATATTTTGCCTAATTTTCAAAATATTTCATTTAATTTTCCTTTTGCCATTCTTTAATTATTAAACAAGCGACACTATAAAAAAGAAACTAACAGCTAAAGCAATTTGTTTATCGAAATCTTCAACAAATATCCCTAAAAAAAGCGTTCGATCATCAAAATTTGTCCAAACTATTTCCATTGTTTCATCACTAAAATTTTATGACAATGAAATTTTATGAGCTTTATTATGAATACCACCTTAGAAATTTCATTAGCAAAATAAATCAAATAATAAATTCAAAAAAAAAATAAATATAAATAATCTTAAAAAAATAAATAAAAGAGAAAAATACTGGGTAGTTTTGTCGAAATCAGGCCAACCGGATGGCCGTTGCGATTTCCAATCTTTGTAAACATACTCAGCAATATTCATAGCCAACAGCGTTAAATTGTACCTATTACCTTGGTGCACTTGACCGTCTTTTTTATTTTGTGACATAAATTTGAAGTACTAAAAAAGAATTCAAAAAATTGTTAAATTAATTGAAAGTGCAAAGAAAGATGGAATTATGCAGATTAAGCCTGCATAATTATAAACAATTTTTGGATATTACTGACAATTTCAAGTGATAAGCTTATTGTACTTTTGCAGCCAGAAATAGTAAGTGGGAATGGAACGATTAATTAAATTAAAGTTAAAATTGAAAAATTATGTAATCATAAATATAAAAAATGAATTTGATATAGTAAAATTATCAAAGTAAATCCTTAGCACTTGAATTTCATAAAAAATTATTCTTAATTCTCAAAACAAATAAACAAATATATGAATTTTTTTATATAAAAATATTAAAACATTTAAAAGTATTTACCAAAAATATTTAAATAATTTAATTAATTTTCAGTTTTACTTCAAAAATGATCGAAAAAAATTATTTAACTGAAAATTTGAATAAATGAAATAATAATTCAGTAAGAGAAACATTTGAAATCACCACAGAAAATAAAAAATAAAAATTCAGAAAAACCTTCATAGTAGGATATGCAGCAATGCCGTGCGAACGACAAATTTCTGCATTTTTTTCTTCGGCACAATTTATTGCCGAAATTTGAACAATTGGTGCCCAAGTGTGCAAATCACTAAAAAAAATTTGTAAAAAATTCTTTTAGAGGATATTTTTTAAAATATTTTAATTTTCAAAACAGTAACGTTAACAAATAAATAATCTTTAATTAATTTTTCATTAAAAGGAAAAAAATAATTTACCACTTCCACTTGCTAATACATCTTTCGACAAAAAAACAGAATAAATTTGAAAATGTCCTAACGAACGAAAAATGACCCAGTGACGTGCACGCTTGAACGACTGGCTTCAGTGTTATTTTCAGTAATGTTATTTTCATCGGGAGGCTTGGGAACGTCTTATCGCAATCGCCCGTGAAACGAGCAACTGTTTGAATGGGCAAAAGAAAATTCATACAAAATATTCAATTCAAACCTTGCAATTTCCTTATAAAATTTTGCATAATTAATACACGCACCACACCAACTCGAATAAAATTCAATAAAAAACGCTCTTTTCTGAAAATAAACTCTTTCTCCCACCTAAATAAAACATTTTCAATCATATTTATTAATAAAAAAAAGGATTTTAATCGAAATAACGAAAAAATTTGACTTCTGAATCGATTAAATAGCAAATTTTTAAATATATTAAGTAGATAAAATAAAATTTAAATAAATTGAAAATGCAAATATGTAAAGAAAAAGCTATAACCTGATTATAGACACTTTTATTAAAATTATCAACGTCGAATTCTTTTACGTGGTCCTCCGATCCATATAATGATGATCCTTGGCAACGGCGGTGAAGATTTATTAGTGTTGCTAGTGCCAGCATTTTTAAAAATTTTAATAACATTGCACTGAAATAGATTTAGATTTATTTGCTTGGACTAATTCATCGTCCATAACACAAATTTCGTATCTTATGAGCGAGAAAAGGGGAGAACCAATCGAGATTTACGGTTACTGCTTGAAACGCATGAGACAGTTGAGAAGCGAGCGGGCTTAGACGATAAAAGAACGGGTGGCCTCAGCTGATTTCGGGCAGGCCGGATTGAGGCCGGAAATTTGGACACCCTTCCTTCTTACTACCCAAACTTGTAAAGGTTTGGAAAATGTGCATAAATCTGAGGTCAAAATGGGTTAAAAGGTCAAAATACGAATAAATTTGAGAATAAAAGTAGGGATTCACAAAGGAATAAATGAAACAATAATGGACACTTAAAACGATTCAATGAATGGTTGATCAACCAAGCAATTGTAGTTCTCCCAAACTGTTACTGAAGAATTTAGGCGAAATTAAGATTTAACAGTAGTAAAATAAAAATAACGCGGGACGCCACCGCGATTGACTCCTTTCGCCTACTAATCTAAAGCAAAGTCCGAGTGGGCGGTGCAGCACTTCACCAAATGACAAACTACCCGAATCATGGTCTGCTCCGGCAACAGTCAACAATGTCGAGCAAACCTGTGGAGCGGAACTGGAAGAAAGCGACGCTCAGAGCAGTTCGGCTTCAATACTGCGCGTTTGCGAAACGAGCTTGCAAAACATATTCGTTGCAGCGAAATAAGGAACGACTGCAGCAAAAATCGCCTGATGGAATCCTCCGATTTCATAATGTGGAATAAAAACCAGGAAGAAGCGAGCGAGGAGAAACGAGAGAGAAGGCTCAGTGGGTTGCCAGGCTTCCACCCCCTTCCGCGAGTGAACGCCAATCCGAGTGGGGCTGGCGTCTCGCCTGTTTTCCATCGCCGCCAAGTACCACCGCTGCAACATTTGTTTGGCCCCATAAATCAGCAAAAAGGAAAAAATCAAACAGAAATGGGGAGCGTTCACAGGAAAAAACAAACATTGTACTTCTTTCACGGGGACAAAAAACAAGAAAAAGAGTGGAACAAATTCTATTTGTCGAACAAAAACGATTTATCTATTGACAAACAAATATCGAATATTATTTGTGTGCTCATTAAAACGATAATTTTCCTAATTATGTCCTCTTTATTCACTTTCACGTAATTCACGTAAAAATAAAATTCACGTAGAAATGGCAGCAAAGAAGAGAGCAGAGTAAGGAGGGATGTATGATAAGCGACGAGATGGGAAACAAATGAATTCTGCAGGTTTTATTAGCAAACGTCGAATTTCTTGCAGGACATAATGCAATTGAAATGGAAAATTATTTAGAAACTGGAAAATAAAGAAAAAGCGGAGAGGGAGAAAGACCGGCAGACTAATTCAAGGATCGGTAAATGGACAAGTGAAGGGAGACGAATAGCTAAGGAATAGACAAATGGCTTGTGATAACTTGATCAGTTGAGTCCATGAGTGATAAAGCCGTATTATAGTAACGATGACGTAATTTCGACAATTCGGTTTCTCGCTTTTTCCGTTTGTTTGATTTGCTTCATTCGTTGGCTTTGGATGCCCTAAGCCATATTCGCTAGAATCAGCCAGTTGGCCCAGTCGATAGAAGGAAAATCTGAATGATTTTTATAAAATTTGACCCGAGAACTAAAGCATAAAATCATCTCATTGATAATTTGATAAAATTTTAAAATATTTTCTTCCATTTTCGGAGGTGAAAGTTCAGCAGGTTTTGCTCTCATTTTGAGAGTACTGTAATCCTAGCCGAAAATCCGGATGATACTGACGATTTACCTGTATTTCTATCGGCAAGCACAGACAAATATGCCAGGGAGAGAAATATGCTTGGGCGATAGAAGCGCTCGTGAATCGCCAGCATCACTCGGATTTTTGGACAGGTTTACTCCAGCACTTCAGCTTCGGCGTTCCGAACTCCAAAAAATTTATCTGGTCCGGTTAACCAGCCGAGAAAACCAAACCCGCAGTGGTGATCGCTCGTAGAAAAAAGAAAAGATATCCCATTTGCGGTAAGCATTTTGATGCACCAACAAATCAAAAGTGACGATTTGACTTAAATATTTTTTATATTGAATAGTACTTATAGTCATAGATAATAACGAAGAATAATAAAATTGATAAAATAAAGGATGAATGAGAACTGTTGTTATCAGTGATTAGAATGATAATGTTTACGATTTATTGACATTGGGATGCTCTGATTTAATTCTTTACGCAACATTATCTCTTTTAATCAATATCGAATTCACTTCATGATAATTCTTACTAATTTTTTTTAAAGAGCCCTTACCACTACTGATTGGACTCGCTGTCTTGTCGTACTAGACAAATAAGCTAGGGAATGCTTTGGCGATAGAAGCAAGGGTGAGTCGCCAGCATCACTCGGGTTTTTGAACTGATATTTCGATAATATCAATGATTTGATTAATGAATTCTAATGCTCCAATCAGTTCCTGTAGATTTTCGACTTGGTCGAGATCGGAACTTGATCTAATACTCCTCTTTTAATAAGAGAGGTTTTTATGAGTAGTAAGAGTAGGAGTGTTATCTATGGTATAATGCCTGTTATCAAATATACTGCATAGTATTTGGATATATTTTTCTACCTCTCTTTAATACAGAAATTTTTCGTCCTGAGGACCCCTTTTATTTTTTAAAAGTTATTGAATAAAATATAATTGCTGAGGATTATCTTTATATTTTTTATCGCGCTGAAAATAAAACTAGGAAATTTTTAAACATTTAAATACTTTTATCTTGTCCTTTTATTATAATACTGCTAAGAAAATGATTTTGGGCTCGAGGATCTCTCGAAGGGCTCTCACACTGCACCTTCGGAACGCATGAATAGCGAAAAATTTTTGGAAAAAGAATTTCCGCACTTTTGCAAAAAAAAAATAAATTACAAAAGTCAATTGACGGAGAAAAAAAGGTACGTAGGAATACAATTACTAAAAACAAAAAATCTGTTCAATTTTTTCTTCAACAACTTTAAAATTTCTTACTAATTACTTTTATTTGAGAATTATTTTTTTCATTTTTATATAAAATGAAATCAGAAAAAAGTAGAAATACATGCAATATTTTCTTTGAATTTTCAACACTTAAAGGTTTAAAATTTAAAAGAAAAAATTTTAAAAAATTTTGAAAAGTTTTCATAAGCAAATATAAATTTTTTATTTTATTTCGATCACATTTTATTCTTTTAAACGATTCTGTTAATTTTTAATATTTAGTAATTTTGCTACCGAAAAATATTATCGAATTGCCATTATCGAATCAAAAACATTGAAGAGGTTGACATATCAGGTTAATACACGTAAGTTGGCTTCGAAAAATATATTATAAAAGGCAAATCTAAAGGTAAAGCTATCCACCGAAAAAGGAATTAGCAGTGCTATTGTTAAATTGCTTATTTGTGCTTAAATTTGAAGGGAATAGTTTAATTTCTCGAAGAATGCTCAAATGCTCTTAGTTCTTCGCCAATTTTTCGCACCATATAAATGGTTTCCAAGGAGTCAATTAGCAAATAAAAGTATATAAATGGGTTGCATCACCCCGATTTTTAAGATATATTTACTACTGCCAGAAGGAGAATATCAACTTCAGCGCTTCGAAATAAAAACAACGAATCAATAATAATTTATCTAACTGATTACTACTGATAAATATGAAATAACATGAAAAACAACGAATAGTTACGATGAAGTCCGAACAAGAATTCAGATCATTAACAATGAAAACTAAGAAAAGAAGTCAAGAAAACGAATTTTGTTTTAAGAAAACCAGTTCTCTTAATCGAATTTTTCGAAATCGTTCTCTCAGACCCCTTTTTTCAGAAATTCGATGTTGCCAAAATGTTGAAAAGGAGGAGACGACAATTTTATATATGCTCACGAATTTATAAAAATTCGTTCTATTGACGAATACAGACAATATCGATTCGATATTTGTTATGACAGGAATAAACCTACAGTTAAGTTAAAAATTCGAGTGGCTACTGGTGGCTCATCTATGATTTTAATTCTTAGTGAATAGTATCTATTACCTCAATATTAAATTTTTGCAAAAGAAGAAACAATGCGTGCTGTTGGAAGAAGGAAAAGAAATTTTTTATCCATTTTCCTTTTTTCTTATCACAATTACAATCTTATCACAATCAAATATTATATTATTCAACATAGAAAAAATAGACCACTTCTACGAGTAAAAATATAAAATAATAAATAAAACGATATAAGGGAAGATAAAATCAACAAACTAAAAAATCGAATAAACGATATATATTATACTCCTGCCGAATCAATAATTTGTAAACTACACAAAATAGAATTTCAACCGTAATAAAATTATTTGAAATCATAAAAATTTAATAATGAACTTTAAAATTCCTTAAATATATTAATCCGGATCGGATGAACTATCTTCGGAAAGTTTCAATTCAACAGTTTGAGCAATTTTAGGCGGTTTTTGTTTTTTCAGGTTTAGTTTACGTTTCATCTCACGGCTTTTGCCTCTTTTCAAAGGTTGTTTTTGCTTCTTTTCCTTCAAAATTTGAGGTTTTATCGCTGAACAGCCATTGGTAATTTGGCAGATAGACGAAGATTCCTGTAATACATATAAAAATGATCAATACAATACAATGAAACAATGAAATAATTTGCTGATAAATATATTGAATATGAATTGAATTTGAAAAGAGTACGGCCGTGTTTGTAATCAAGTTTTTTGTTTCCGTAAGCGCATTTAATTTTTCATCACCGATCTGTTCATCTTCCCAGTCATTCTCTTGATTTTTGCCAGAATTCGATTGATCACTCAACAAAACTGATGAAGGACATAATTGAATATCTAAATTTCTAAACATTTCTAATCTAAACTTTCATGGTGTTTGGAATAACAAGCTTATTGTTGAATTTATTGATAATTTATTATTAATTACACCTCTTTAAAATATGAGCAATATTACAACACAAATTGTCAATTATTTACTTTTTGAGCAGATGCTGAAGATTTATCAGCTTTTATTCTAAATGACTTTATGGCGAAAAGTATCACGATTAAAACAATAAAGAACAAACTTTTAATATCAGCCAAACGTTTTAATGCATTACGGGCTCTGCTTGTGAGATTCATACACTGATCAGCTTCTGATTTATAAAGTTTATGAGTGAAGGCAGAAATATGCATTTGATATGACCGACCAGCTCCTCCAACTAATGGATTCAAATATTCGTTCCATTTTTCAAAGCAATTTTGTGTACGCTAAAAATGGATAATTACCATTTCTAAATGAAAGATAAAAAAAAAATCTGCATTAAATTTTAAAAACCATCATTTATATTCAAACTGAATTTAAAAAATTTCAAAAATTGTAAATAAGCACATTTTTAAATTTATTCGAGTCCCATCCGAGTTTTGACCACACATATATTTCCAGATCGCGAATATTAACTACCCTCCAAACAAATTTTTCTAGCGAACTATCGACAGAAGGATGCACGTACGCACTGAATATTTCAAAAGATGGAAACTGCAAAATTTTTTCAATTTTTAAAATTCCAATTAAATTCCAAAAAAATAGTTCAATAAATTAATAATTAAAGGATAAATAGAACCAACTTTCTGAAGATCTGCTTTCTCATTATTTGCTTCCACTAATCGTCTTAATTTTTTCCTAAATGCGTTTTCAAATCCTTTTTTTTCTTTTCTGTTTGAATTAAAAAATTTTCCACCATCTGCATGCTCCATCATATCTTTATCAACATTTTCATTAATTATCCAGTCCGAAATCCGTTTTAATAAATTAAATGCCTGAAAAGTCTAGAATATTAAAAAAACAGAAACTCAAAAATTTTTAAAAAGATTTTAAAATTTTAATATTTATAGTAAATATATAATACTTTAATATAATACGTGAACGACAAAAACTAAAAATCTATTATTTACATTATTTATATCCATTATTTATATTTTAAAAAATTTATTATGATTCTAATTTCGAACTTACTGCAATATGTTAAAATGATGAAATAAATTTTTTGTTGAATAAAAACGTTTACATATTTTTCATCTGCTGCCTTGTTCCCAAACTGTGAAAACTCCGCTATCAATTCCAGTGCTGTGACAATTCCAATATTTGTTAATCCCTTTGTATAATCGCCACCAGAGAGCATACCAATTGCAATCATTTCCCACTTACTTAAGCCTGGATATATTGAATATAATGAAAATGAAAAGTATGAACCTTATAGAACAAACTATCGTTAAAATAATAATGCCATTTGAAACTCTGCAAAAAAGAACTGATTCCTCTAATAGAAAATTACATTTCCTAAAATTTTCCAACATTTCTTAAAAAAGAATTTAAATTAAAGTGTCAATATATAATAGAAATACCTAATTGCTTGGATATATTTTTACTTGTAAATAACTGAAGCCTCCTCTTCTGATTAAACATATTCTTATAAACCGTAACAGCTCCAAATAGCCAAACATCAGAATCATCAGAAATTATGCCCTCAAAATTACGAACATATTAGAAATGTAAAAAGATAAAGAATGGTAGTATACCAAAATCACCAAAACTAACTTGAACGAGTCCTAATCGCTCCAACTCGCAACACTGAGCTTCAGCTTCGCCAGGAGCTACGATGAAAGGTATTCCACAAATCCGAAGCAGTTCCTGAAACCATTCTGATTCTGCTAAATACACCATATTTTTGCATACACTGAAGATCAACTAGAACTGCATCATATGCTTTTGAGCTGTTTTTTCAGATTTTTTAGGACTAAAAAAGATTAACTTGACATTCACTGTAGAACCCTCGCTGGAAGTTGAGATTTTCAACGTTGCTTTTCATAATCAAATTATTAGCAGTGGTTATAGGTTTAGAAAACATTTTTACATACTGTGGAATCCAATCCTAAATAAATTTTAAAATGATATCATTGATGATATTGTTCATTTTTTCATATGAAGCAGACTTAATGAAGAAATATTCCAGAGCCAGATCAGCATGCCAAAGGCTTAAACTATCGTGTGGATAGGCATGGCAAACAACTTCTATTTATATCGCCAAGTAACTTCCTAAGAAAATTTTCTAAGCGAATTAAGTCAGCGGAGCTAGCACATAATGATGAGCGCTAACCACTGATTTACTTACCTCAGAATCAATGCTGCTATCATGGTTGTTATCTAATGTGTCAACAGAATTCGAAGTGGACGGTTTAGGTTTTTTATTATTAAGCTCAATTTCCGTAGCTCCGTGCAAGCACGAATTATCAAAATCAGGAACATCAATAAAATCATCTTCACTCGATAGATTAGATTCATCGGACCACAAGTCACACTGCAAACCTGGACAAAAGTGAGTAGTTTTGCAATGAAATCTATAGTTTAGACAGAATAAATAAAAAAAGGAGAAAGTTATGTCATATTAACTGGAAATGAATGAAACTAAATTCCATCGAAATGCAGCAACCATTCTGAGAACTTAAATAACAAAAAGAAACTGATTAAATTAAGTAATGATAAACTAATTACTATAATTACTTTTTTGATTTTCGAAGAATGTTTGACTCATACGATTAATTGCATCTTCCTTTGAGAAAAACTCCGAATATGCATTGGACTTGAGCATTTTCTTCGAATTAAACCACTTATTTTCTTCCAAAGAGAGTGCGATGGCCTAAAATAAATAATTTCTATATCCAAAATTCACTTCAGCTATAAACTTAAACAAAATTAACCTCTTTCAAATCTTCATCTTCATCATCATCAGAATTTGCCAACTTTTTACATCTCATTTTATTTCTATTAGCACCACTGAATGATGCCTTTTTTGCCTGAAATCCTTTAGCAATTATTTTTTTCCAAAAATATTGTCGACAAAAAAATGAAAACAGAAATATTTATATTGATTTATTATGAGTTTTTTAGCTAAGAAAAAACAAACGGTGTCGCTTATTTTGTTTTTCTCGAGAAAATTTGGCCAGGAAAGTGAATAAAGCATATCATTCTCTTTCATTTTCCTTTCATACTTGCAGTCATCCACGATCTACAAATAAAAGAAATCATAGTTTACATAAATTATGTTTACCAACCAACTGCCAAAATATTTGTTCAAAACCTGCACATCATCATCCGTCGTGATCAAATGTTCTCGCTGTAATCCTTCCATTACCATTAATTTTACATTACCAGTATTACTATCTGCCAGAGAAATACCAAGAGCTTCTCGTTTTAACTGTAAATTATAAAATTTTTCATCTTTTTTCGACCTTAAAATTTTTTTAAAAGAAGAAATTTTTTGGCCAAGTGGAAAAATATAAAATAAATTGAAAAGGATTTGAGAAATGCAAATCTCGCTTTAAATTCCTCAAATTTTTTTAAAATGGAAGGAATGAAACCTCATCCAGCTGCTCATTGATCTGATTTCTTTGTAAAAGTCGTTGAATTTGAAAATTCGAAAAAGTTTTTGAATCATCTGGGATCTAAATTTTATAATAGTTTTCGAATGAAGAAAAGGGTTTTTGCGTGTACAAATAATAGTAGTGGATAAAAGAATTGAAATATTAGAACAATTAACCTCGTCAATTGTTAAGCCTCCTCGTGCTCGATTCCGGAAAGCCAAAAGATAATCAACACGTTCATCACGATTGAGACATTTTTCAAATTTTTCCGCTTCGTTTTCAAGCGGAATTTTTGAACACATTGGCAAATTGAAGACATCATCAACATTGTTATAACTTTAAATAAAAAATTAAAAAACAATTAAAGCATATGGGCCCAAACCACCAATTGTATTTCATTTTAAATGATACATTTATTTAAGAAAATGACATTTGCCATCAAACAACAATAAAATCAAGGAAAAAATAAATTAAAAATAAATATGGAAAAAGAACAAAAGTCCTACTTAGCTGAATGATTACATTCATTCGTTTCTTGTAAATTTCGATCATTTTGTTGTTCAGCTTTCTCCGCATTTGATGCTTCCTGCTTAGCTGTGCTTAAGACTTCTGCAAATGTAAATTTGGCTAATAAATGAAGAGATTTTAATAATTTAATAATAAAATAATAATTTGAAAAAAAACCTCGATGAACAATTTGCTTCAAAAATCGTTTTCGCGCTTTACTTAGCGTTAAATCATCAATATGACGCTTTATTTGTCGTTCATTCTAGATTTTAAAAATTAAATTCCAAAAAAATTTCAAAATTTTAAAGAATTCGCTTCTTCTCTTTCATAGCACTCATCATTCCTGATTTAATTGACTGATTTATTTGGCAGTCAGACAGACATTTGAAGGGGTACCAGGCACCAATCGAAATTTAGGTAAATTTTACAAAATTTCAAGAATTTGTAAACTTTTATTTCTACTTTTGCTTTACAAATTTTACTTTTATTTTATTTTACAAAAGTGTAAAAGGAGTAAAGAGATTAAAATTTGAAGGTTAAAATCATAAATAATAAATCAATCATAAATCAAAGACCTCCAAAGTTTTTTTTGCATTGGCCAAAAAAAATTTTCCCAAAGATATATTATTTCCTAAGAATCATATTATACCATGCAAATTATTAAAAAATAAAAGACATTATAGAGATATAATGAATATTAATATCTATAATCTTCAAAAAGTTTTCTTCCTCTTTTTTATAATTTCTGAATAATATTTTCATATTCCCCATCGGTGTTCATTATAGAGAAGTTTTGTGCATTAAAAAAATCATTTAAAATATGTTGAAGAAATTCTAGCGTGACTACTACCCCTATTTGAAACTTTGAAGCTTATATGAGATTTTAAAAAAAGCATAAAAGAATCAAACTTGCCCACGACCCCTCGTGAATCTCCGAATTAAACGATGAAAGGCAAAGTTTGCAGATTGCTATATTTATAAAAGTTGTAACTGGTATAACTTACAAAAGTTGTAATATTTTATTGAGAAATAAAACTGAAGAAAATTTCTCTCTTACTAAAATTTTTTGCTTAAACTGTGGAACGTTAGGACCATCGAAGACAAAAACAGGACGAATTTTATAGAACAATAATTTCGCCAATCTATTAACAAGCAGCGATAGATGAGGACTTCGCGAATCGACATCACGACCGCTATAACCATATTCCGCTTGATAAGCCCATATTGACAAATCTTAAATTTCCATATTCGAACTAATACGATATAAGCCATAAAATATCAGCCCATATGTTCATAATAAAATTAAATAATTAAAATTAATTTCTTTCGCAAAAATTTTTGCAAGTTTCTAAAGCAGAATAAGAAATTGTTATATTTACACCAATATTTAAAGGAATATTTTAACTAATAAACGTAAAGGTTGAGGTAAAACTACGAAAAGAAGTGAGAAAACTGCAAAAAAAATATACCAACCGACAGCAAGACATTTCCCTTCGAGAGATTCTAGGGTGACTGGTTCCGCTGTTGGTTCCAATAAACGCCATAAACCCTTAATGCCCATTTCAGCAAGCAAACAAATTCATTTGTCAACTGCTCCAGCTATAGAAATTTTATATATAGAGACTAAGGAAACCGAAGCCGCAGCCTCTTCTCTAAAGTTCATCTCTAAAGCTCAGCCGACAGATAGTTAGGAAGGCTGTACGATATATTGAGATGCAGTGAGTTCATAAGTCTAACTGGGCAGATCGCAGTAAAGTTTTCAGAAGTTCCCTTAGGTTGACGAAGACTTTGCCTTTTTTGAAATTTGGACAAAAAACGAGTTTCGTGAGTGTTCAATTCTGTTACGGCGGAAATTTTAGCGCATAAACGCAAAACATTACGATTGGTTGAAACTTCCGAAAGTGCTAATAAAACATTTTTTATATGAAATCATTTAATTTAATAAAAATATTAGAAAAAATTAATAGCCGCCGGGCGCACATTAGTTTCTCCTCAGCAGAATGGATTAAGTTCATTAAGAATCAGGAAAAGTAAACAAAACTTGATTTGCACCAACAAAGTACCATGGAAGTGGTAATTAGGAAAAGTAAGCGCTGCACTGGTTATTTGGTGAGAAGCTATCGCAAGGAAGTCGCTAAGTTTAGAAGATCAAACTCAGACTCTTAAGTGCTCCTCCTTCTTTCTGAAATAGCTTCCATCAACCTCTTCACTTGAAGGTTTCAACCTTGGAGGAAATATTTATCTGCCTGGGTCTGACAAGCTTGCGGAGTAAACCTGAGCTGAAATGCTAAAAGTCGTTCAAAAATAAAAACATTTAGCTGTAAACAAATAAAAGAGTCTTATAACGATTAGGGTTGAAAAATTTTTTAAAAATTTGAATTTCATTTTTCTTTATTTTTTTGTTTTTATTGCTTGAATGTCACAAATCCTTTTTACATATTTTTCTTGTTCGATCTTTTTCATTTTTCATTTTAATTCTTGGTATTTAAGATTTTGGATTTGATTTGAAATGCGTTTTATGGATTTTCTTTTTCTGGCGAGAAGAGTCAATCGGTGACACAACTGGGCCGCCGGTACCACGTGGATTTTGCAGGCTCGGTCGATGACACAACTGGGCCATCCGGTACCACGTGGATTTCCCAGGCTCGGTCGATGACGCAACTGGGCCGCCGGTACCACGTGGATTTTCCTGGTTCGGTCGGTGACACAACTGAGCCGCTGGTGCCATGTGGATTTTGCTTATTCTTGTTGAAAATGGAACCCCTACATCGGTGTTCCGAAGTGAGAGCGACATTCCCTTTCACTCCTTTTTTCTTTAGTCACTTCTTATAATAGGTTATAAGCCAGTTACTTTTAGCTGCGATATAGTGTTCTTAAGCCGCTGCATCCGATGACCTCTTCCACTTCTTTCCATGTCTGAGGCCTGAAGTCATATAATTGACCTATCTGTACGTTTGAAATCTTTCCTGGCTGTATCAGTTCAGGCTTTGATTGGTTGATCTCTTCGCTTTTGGCGCGATCCATAAAAGAACTTAGAAAGTAATGGGGTACGCGTTGATTCTTATGATGGGACCACGGTCTTAGGCGCCGTTATTTGACGTTATAATTAATTCAAGTGAACTGAAAAGTGAACGCAATCATATGAAATTCCATTTAAACATAGAAACACTTATTTTAAGACATGGACGGTCCAAATAGCTTCTTAATATGTTCCACTATAGTATTATGGTGATCACTACAGTCAGGTAGATTCGAATTTTTGGTTTTAGTAGTGATTTCGCCAAAGAATAATATTTATAGCGCAGTTATCGAGGCCGCAATTTTTTTCACTTGGCCCATTTAGTATGAAGGTAGAAAGTGGATTTAAGACATATTTAAATATATTTGACACATTCTCAGCCTGTGATAAATTTATTAAAATGGATATTTTTTCAAAGTCCGGCATATTAGAAAAAAAGGCTTTCAAATATTGTCTTGCATTTCTTCATGAATGTTAATAAAATGAATTATATTATATCGTCATCAGTACATTCAAGATCTATGATATTTGCGGAGAAAAAAAAAGAATGCATTGTTGACTTACACCAATTCTTATTTTGAAAGCGAAAGGAGTTCCACATATATAGAGATGATGTACGCTTAAAATGTCTTAATGAGTTAGATCTCTGAAACACTGTAGCATTCCATCTCCAGAATGCCGTTCAATCAGCTGAATCAAGTCGAAGGCAAAAAATTGATGAAACGGATGAATTACTGATATTTTTTCTTTTTTTCAAGTTCTTTAAATAAATTTTATAAATTTTTTTTTTAATTTTGATTTTTTTATAATTTTATTTTATCTACTTTATCCTTGTGACATAGAAATAAATTTATCATTATTAAAAATCTGGCTAACTGCTGGGGATTCTTCTGTAACTCTATTCTCAAATGGCTCTATGGTAAAAAGGTCTGATTTCGTTGATATGGCGTCCGCATCCCCTGATTTTCCCGGCCCAGTGGTATATGCGACAGTCCTGGAAAATAATCGAACAACCTCGACGCTTGAGAATATATCCTACTCGGGAGCCAGAGTAATTATTCGAAATCTGTCGAGGAAAATGGCGGATTGTTGGATGTTGGATGGAACGTCAGAACACTTATGGGATTTCAAGTTATCCACACCTTTTCTAAATATCGTGTGGATATCGCATGTTTGTCGAAGGTCTCTTCCTCACTTCGGATCTCGAGTAATTTTGGCTCGGAGCAGAGGTACTGGCTATATCACTGTACTTCGGATAACTTGGGGCAAAATGGCGTAGCGGTTGTTATGTCTGGAAAGGCTCATTTCACTTTGGCTCAATGGAAACCGGCAAGCAAGTGACCATATAGCCTTATGCCCGCTTTAAAGGAAAGTGCAAGGTTCTGCAATATCTCGATCAGTAATTTGTATACCCCAACTTTATCTGCAGTTAACTAAGGATAAATTCTATACGGAACTTCACTTGCTTGCTGCCGAAAATGCCATGGTAATTATCGGGGAAGACTGGAATGCGAGCGTAGGTCATGATGCCGTGACTCGATAATGGGCAGATATGGCATCGGGATATGACGCGCCAATGGAGAACACCTTTACGTGCTTTCGACATCGAAGAAGACATCTATTCACCTGGACCTGTACACATAACATTCTAACCAGATTGATTAGATCTTAGTCGCCATTGGAAAGCACGTGCCAGATATTGGGCGCAACGAGCGCATTTCAAAAGAATTATTGAAGCACCTCGATAATAAAATAGCGAAATCTTTGAAACAGCCTATGAATACTGGTCTCAACTGAAGGAAGCTCCGAAAGCCAGCCATTTCCCACACTACGATATACTAGTAGAAGTTCACTAATTGAGAAGCAGATTTCAACTGTCTGAAAAGGTATGTTAGGAGATACTATCGGATGCTTCAAAGAATTACAACGACAGAAGCGCGGCGCAACAGAAATCACTATTGGAGCTATATGGCTTTGAAAATGGTAATAATAGGGAACTATTGTTTTTTTCATAAAGTTACTATAGCTCAGATAACGATCAATGAAGTGGCATTAATTTTGTAAAATCTATTAAGATCAGTGGAGTGGGATCTCCTCAAGTGGAAGGGATTCTTTGAGACCAAACTTAATCACATACGCCATCAGGTTATTCATCGGGATAGAATGGCTTAGTGGGTTGTTGTTCGATTGTGCGCCGGTGCTGAGGTTCGATTTCTCTCACGAATAAGCTTGTACAAAAGATGCTGGCGATTTACCTGTATTTCTATTGCCAAGGGATTTCCTGGCATATTGCTTAATGTGATAAGCCAGTGAAGCGAGTTTAACCAGTAATGGTTAAACTGATTCATAAATGTGAATCGCCGACAAAAGAGAAATAATCTCCGTTATAAGCTGAAGGCCAATAAGACTAAGGAAGAAAATTGTCTCCGGAGTGAATTCTTCAGTTCCTTCGTCCTCGATAACACACCTTCACCAAATGCACTCTGTAGTATGGAAGAAAGAAATAATGCCAGATTAAATGACTGAAGCAAAGCAATTCTGATCCCATTTTTGAAGAAAGATGGTAGGACATACTGGTGGTAGGATAATAATTACCGAAGTATCAGCATATTAGACGTCTCAAGGAAAGAAAATTTTGTTTCTCTTATACTTGATAGATTATGGCAGTACAAGATAGCAGAATATGTCCTAACCCAGCTGGATTTAAATCGAGTCAAGGTTTAATTATAGGTATTCACGTTAATGTTGGTATATTGAACATCTGCAACTCACTATCACGTATTTCATCAAATTTGCATTTGTCTTCGATTCAGTTAATAAGGCGGCATTCTGGAGGATGATGGAACGTGACAGTGTTCCAGAGATCATTCGTCTCATTTAGATATGAAGTCATTTTATCAGCCGACATCGCAGAGGTCAAACAGACTCCTTTGAAATAAGATCCAACCATGCGATAGACTGAATAATGGGCATTCCTTGTTGGCATTCAAGTGGTATCCAAATCAGTCCAGGACATCGTAGCCACAGATCTTAAATAAGCTGATGATATAGCCCTTTTTGCTGACAATTATGACGAAATGCACAAAATTAAACAATTGTAGCGAGAATCAGATTCATAGTCCATTTAAATGAAAGGAAATCTTTTCGTTTTATTTTGAAGAAGCTGATATCTATTTCTATCAATGCCAGTTGAAGAACTGTCGGATTTTAAATATCTTGGATTCACTTTAATCTCAAATGACCAAGCAAAAAGACGAAATTACAACCGGAAAAACGTTAGCTAAAAATTCTTTTGACGACGATTTTGTGGAATCGTCGCGAAATCATAAAAACGAAAGTCCGCCTCTATATAGATGCAGTTCGCTCAATCCAATGAGAGTGGAAAATATTATGAAGTTTTTGTCCACTATCTAAGATATTTTACTTGTTTGCCGAGTCACAAAATTTCATATGACCTTCCTTTAAATAAACTTGCATTAACAATTACCAGCACAGAACTTCGCTGGTTAGGACACGTTCTTCCAAAGACACATATTTCCTTACTTGCTAAACCCTGTGATGTGTGGCATCAAAAGCAAGACCAATCAGTGTATGAACTGGAAAGATTCAGCAAGAAAAGATTTAAACCTATAGTTGAACCAGCTCTATATGGATTTAGAAGATGGAAAAAGAAGTGGCTTCTACCACTGTTAGCGGTGGTAATAGATCAAACAGCTTGGAGGCATCTTGTCTTTGAACAGCAGAGCCAGCCTAACCAGTAATGATGAAAGTTCCTATAACAAGGAGAAGAAAACATTTGAAGCGAGGTTACAACACTTTGCTTAACTTGAACATTATTCGTTAGCATATTGCGTTCTTAAACGAAAGTTTTCTTATAAGTTTTCTCATAATATGGTGATTCCTGTGTAGTTGTCACAATACGACCTTTTTAGGGGTTGTTGATTTCATTTATAATTTATCAGTTATTTTTTTAATAAATCCGTTAATCGTTGGATAAGAATCGCATTTATGCTTTGAGGATTTAATAAAGAAAAAATGAATTTTGTAAGGTTTATTAAATTTTGCTATCATGGTTACTGCTGGATTTCTATTATTACTGATCAGTCATTTCTATTATTACTGATCAGTCATTAGTGATTCGGCTCCTATTTCCATCAGGAACAAACCTATTATTATCACGACGGTCCATTTATAATACATCTTTTATTACCAAGTAATGACAAAAATTTTAAACCATATCAAAAAGGCTCAACTGATTATGTGAGCCCCAAAAAGCAGGGAGAGCATTGGCCATTTATATGCTTAACACTTACACTGATTTTAATAAAGCCCATGTAATTACTGCTGGACTTTTATAAATATACTATTTTGATATTTTTTAATATTAGTTGTATTATGTGAATTTTCTGCGTCTGAATAATTTTATAATTTTTATTATTATTTTAATATTAAAATAGTATATTTATCGTATATTATAAGAAATTGTTTGCAGACTGTAATAAAATTATTTCAGCGATGACAACTTGCTCTGGAAATACAACAGAAAATTCAACTGATGGTTCCACTATAAATCTGAATATTCTTGATCTAGGCGTTAGATTTCTAACTTTACAAACACAAAAATTGTTTCTGGCCCATTATTTTGGGATTGAGAAAATTGATGGCATGTCAATTTCAGATGCAGGTTTGTTTTTGTTTCTTTATATTTTTGTTCCAAGAATATTCACCGTTAATTGGTTAAACTCTTTTCGCTGGCTTGTCGGGCTAGATAAATTTGTCAGAGAGTGAGATATAATGCTGGTGATATAATGAATCGTCAGCATCACTCTGATTTTTAGACAGATTTATTTCCCTGAGGTAGAACTTCAGCACCAGCGCTCCGAATTAAGCAACGACCCACTGAGCTACTCTACCATCCTTTGCTTTTTAAGAGATAATGCCGCCAGACGAAAGGTGGTGTGTCGGCTGGTTCGAATTTAACCGTCGATTTTCGGTAGCTGTTGTTGCCATTGAGCCATCGAAGCACGTTAAGGGTTTATGAATGATTAAATCTTTTCATCTTTTCATAAATTAAAATCTGATAAGGTTGATTGTCTAAATGATTGCTTTTTAAAGCTGATTGCTTGTCGATAGTACGAAGAAAAACGGAACAAAACGAAATAAAAGAAAAGAATTTATTAAATGAACTTAATCATCGAAACCACATTTTAAATGGTTTGTTTAATTATTTTAATATTCATAAAATAATATTCATTTTTTGCTATTATATGGTATTTATTTCTCTGAATTTCCATTTTTAACATATCTCTCATTTGCTAGATATATAATATAATAATGTATTTGCTAAATAAGAATATATGGTTTTATATGTTCAAGTAAAATTAGAGAAATTTCAAGATGATCTGCATCTAAAATATTAATTTAAATATAAAATATAAATATAAATGCATTATTTGAGTAGAGCCGAATTCGTGGGGTATTTTGTATTTTAAAAATTTATTTCATGGTTACTGCTGGATTTCTATTATTACTGATCAGTCATTTTCTTATCAGCTGGTTTTTTATTACCTTCTTTACCAATTTTTTACTGGTTCTCTACTGGTTATTGGTTTTTTTGTTACCTTATAGACCAAGTTAAAAAATTTTGTATGTTATTTAATGGTATTATTTAGCCGAAATTGATGAAAAAGAACTGGAAGAAGCGAAAGCATTTTTTGAATTGGTTTGTATATGCTGTTTGTTGCTTAATTTTGTTTCTGTTAATGTATCTGTTAATTCAAATTGCAAAATTCTATTATTTCTATTATTTTTTATTTTGAGTTCGAAGAATTTAAAAATTTATCATTCTATTTATCCTTTTATCATCCACCGTGTCATTAATTCTAAAAAATCAAAATTTATCACTTATCTGAAATTATTTATCTATTGAGACTTATTACTGACCATATAAATTTATATTTTTATAAAAATTTGCAGAAAAATGAGGAAGAACAGTTAATTTCAAAATTAAAGTCAAAAATGAAGTCAAGCGAATCAAACTTTGATTCAGTCGATCAGTGGTTAAATGGACTGGTCATTTTTTATTTTAGGATGTTTTAAATGAAATCTTTCTTTCATTCTTGAAACCTCTAAAATTCTTTCCCGATCATTATGGTGTTTTCCGAAAATTGATGTCCCATAATATGTTCAACATTTAAGTAATAAGAAAACATTCAAGCAACAAATAATTTTCCAAAATTTAATTTCAGAACGAATTATCTTCATTACAAAACAAATTGAATACGATCATTGCAAAAAATGAACTTCTTAGAGCTGAAATAGATTCATTTAAAACGGTTGATTAAAAATCTATGTGGTTATTCTTTCATAAATTTTTTTCATCCAGTTTGAAAAAATGATTTATTTTTAAAACAACTTGTTTACAAACTTTCAAAAAATAGTTTCAGGCATGAAATATCTTCAAGGCACTGAAATAAATATTCACTGAAATAAATAAATATTCACTTGATTTGACCATCTGACGACAACATTCCTTTCTAAAAAATTTTCATAAAATAATTTTTTTCGCATTGTAACTTTAAACCTTAAATGCCTATTTTTGCCCTAAACATTTAGTCAAATCTGTTTTATTATTACGGATTTATTTGAAAAACAAGTAGATTTTTTAGGAGCTCCTTTTACTACTTTTTTGAATTTTCCAGTATTTTTGCTCTATTATCTTTTTTTTATAAATTATATGCTTACGTAGTTAATTAATAAGAAAAGCACGGAAAATCAAGTGGTTACATTGTAAATTATCAAATTTGATCAATTCCATGGTATACTCGTATTGTCAATGATGATCCAATAATCGTAAATTATTCCACGAATTAATTCACATTATTTCATTATTAATTCTATATTTGGAAATGTTTCACTCGATGTTATGTTAATCTTATTCTCGAAAGTTCTATGCTAAAAAAGATATGATTCTTTGCTTTATTATATTGATAATGCGAGGATGAAATAATGAAATTAACGAGTAGAATTACAATTAAAAAAGTAAAAAGTTACTAAGTGTAACCGCATATAGAAGTTTTATTCATTATTTCATTATTCACAGATTCACAGGTTTTATTCACAGATCATTAGATGCATCAAAACATATCTTATAAAAAGACGCATCTTTTGACTGCAAATGTTATTTTCAGTGGTAGAGAATAGCTCGTCGAGCTTATCGAGAATACCTTAAAATTTATGAGGAATATGTGAATGCACTTCAGTGAAAATAATTGTAAGGTTGTTCAGATTGGAGCACCTATGTTGAGGTTCTGTTCCTCGTTGTGATAAACTTGTGGAAAAATTCGATGATGCTGGCTATTTAAGTCGACTTCCATCCTTAATGGACTACTTGGAATATTCGTTCAATGTAGGTAGCCAGCGAAGCGAGCTTAACTGTAAATGGTGTTGATTCATGAAAAAAAAAAGAATATTATAGAGATATGGGAAAAATTGGGGTTCTTGCATTCCTGTAAGGTGCGCTAAATTTTCTTCAAATCACAATCTGGCAGATTCACACAAATAGACTTTTTAATGGAAATTAAAAGTAATTTATTTTTAGATTAGGTAAAAGGTAAAAACGCATCACAGCTTCATAAGAAAGGATCACAGTTATTTTTATTTTATTTATTACCCATAGATAATTTTTTTATCAATACGCTAAATAACAATAATTTCAAACGAATTACTTTTTTAAATGAATTACTTTTTATCTGTTAGCTTATAAATCTAAAAATTTTGAAAACCTGAAATAATAAATAAACCACTTCAGAAAATTTTCAGGTTTTTAAAATTTTTAGATTTATAAGCTAATAAAAAGACAAATAGATAAAGATAATAGATAAAAAGTAACTTCAGATACAAATACAGAAAATATAATCAAAAAACCCAGGAATTTTTTTCGTACAAAATAAAACAAGCATTACTACAAACAATGAAGGTGGTAAACCTTGGGATACCAATCAATACTTTTGATAAATATTATCAAAGAACTCGCTTGAAATTCGACTTTAAATTATTTCTTTTATATCAAAAAAAATAAAAATATTTACAAAAATACAAAGAAAGTAAATAAAATACTGATGTTATTCTGCTAATTACAATAATTATTTCGATCGTTTCTTTGCTTTCATGTATTCACCACGTTGAATCTCCAAATGCAACTGCATTAATTCCTTCTTATTAATTGAGCCTCTTTCAAATAATTTTGCTAATATCTTTTTACCTGTAGATTTCATGATTTATTTCGTAAGCCAATTAAATGAAAGATAATTCTCAAGACAAACAATGATTAGATAATAAAATAAAATATAAGATAATAAAATAAAAATGAAAAAAGGATGGTGAAAATATTATTTTAGAATTTAAATAAGTTCAGTCTAAAACTGCAGTTGAATATAGTTATCTCCTCATCTATAGAGAATAGATGCCATTTTGCACCTTAGAATAAAAATCACTTTTTAGAAATTAATTTCTAAAGGTTTCTTTTTGAATTAATCATCGCCCATATTATGGCTCCGATTCAAGTTATTTATGTTTATATGGGTATGGATATATGGGTATATCCGATGCAAAAAAATAAGTAGCCAAAAGCGTGTAAAGAAAGTGATGCATAAATAATCATACAATATTTAAAGATGGAAAATACCTTTTCTTTTGAAGGGTAAATTGACTATTGCCTTCTCGCCATTTGTACTAACAGTATCATTAGGCATACACTGAAACAATAAGAGTTGAAATACAAATCATAGCATATTATTTAGAAACGGATAATAATAAATTTGTTTCTTTTTCTCAATCCTTATCTCAAATAGCTCTTCACAAACAAAATTAAAAAATTAAAAAACACCTCCTCGGAGAGTTCCACATTTCCATTTGCAGGTATTGACTTTTGATCATCCTCAGCTGACACTTTTTTTTCAATGTCAATATTTTCAATAACTTTTGCTATACCCTTTTGGATTATATTATCTAATTGAGATTCTATTTCACTAATTGCTTCTTGATCTGGAAACATTCCCTGCAAAACCGAAAATTACATGCATTATATGCAAACAAATTTAAGAAAGAAATAAGATAAATAAAATAAGATAAATAATTATAAGCCACGTTTAGAATAAATGATATTTATTATTTAATATTATATATACAATTACAATTACAATTATACAATACAATTATATATACAATTATACAATTGACATAACTCAAAATTAATTCAAAAATTTAATACTGAAAAACTTGAAACAAACCGGGAATCGATAATGCAGCCACAAATATAGGTCAACTATACCATAAATTTGTTCAACTTCCAGCAATCGAGAAAGAGTGGTTGGAACTGGAACAGGCCACTTAATTTCATTACAAAACCATTCATAAGTTATTGTTTGAGAAGTGGAAAATCTAAAATAAATAAAAATTAATTAAGAATCAATTAAGAACAGATGAACCTAGAATTACGGAAATCGAATGAATTAAAGTTGAATGAAATAAACAGCTTACCTTCTGACCATTCTAATAAAATATGCTTTCATTAGTTCCTTTTCGACATCGACTGGTGATATGCAGAAAATATATCGATCCTTAAATTTTTTTACAAAATCTCAACTATGAAAAATGATGAAAATTAAGGATTTGGGATTTGAGTGAAGGGATAAGGCTATTTATGACAAAAAAACAAAAAACATAGTTCCAATAAACCATAAATTTTTTTTAAAATCTTATAAAAGATGGAAAAGTTTTTACTAAAAACCTTTAAAGTAAGTGGCATTCCGTCAATTATTTCTGCCACATTCTTGATCTGATCGACAGAACTAATGAAAAAATGTTCAGATAAGGAACAAAGTGATTTAAAAATATCCAATAACGATACAAATGATGCATTTGGAAGATGCAAAGAAAAACTTTCTAACTGAAAAATTTTCATTATAAAAATTGGCTTTTTGTTCAATAAAAAATCATCATTTTTGAATCATCATTAAAATCATTTTTCAACCATTTTTTTTTCAGTAAATGAAGATTAGACTCATAATTCAAATTCTTGCTTATCTAAACTGGTTTGAACATAAAAAGAGACTAAAAAGAAATCGTATATAAAACAATTTTGTAAAAAAACCTGCTCATAGGTTGGAGCCAAACCAACACGCACAATTGGTTCAACTGGCTGAGACATCAGTCGCTTAAGAATAGGCATATCAGCTTCATTGAATGTTAACACCTAAATAACTGAAAATTTAAATCACTACAATAAATTATAGTTAATTATAAAAGGGCGTGCGACATCAGTAGGAATCAAGATAAAAAGTTAGATGAAAAAATATCAAAATCGAAAAGAAACTTGAAATGAACTTATTTCTGAGTAAAATAGAATAAGTTTTAATAAGAACATAAAGAGTTAAATTTAAAAAAATTAAAGCAATAAAATCAAATAAACCTTTCCATCAGGATAGGAAGAACCATACCGTCCAGCTCTACCAGCTATTTGTTGAATCATAAAATTGGGCAATAAGTCTTGCGTATAAGAACTACGAACAGTTTCAAATATTACTCTAAAATTTTTTTTTTTAAATATTACAAGCGTAACCATTTTTAAAAATAATTTTTAAAAATAAATAAACCAGATTCGATTTAGTTTCATATCATAGATACAACCTTCTAATATTTAAATTTAAGCCCATTCCAATAGCGTCTGTGGCAACTAATATGTTACAAGGATTATTAGGATCATTGAATTCCGCAGCTTGAGCAAGTTTTGTTCCTGGAGGCAAACTGCCATAAATAACGGCTCGCTTTATTCCTAACCTGTCGAGTCTGGATGCCAAATTGTAAATTTGACGCCGTTGAAAGCAAACAATGCAATCGCCATCCTATGAAAAAGATGTTGAATTAAAATATCAAATCAATTCTTTTTTAATACAAAAAATAAAAATATAAAGTTAAACATACTTGTAAATTACTTAAACTCCCTAATGCATGCGTTTCAACGGACAATGGAGATTTCCTTTCATAACGATGAACTTCAATGTGTTCACCGATTGGATCCAACAGTTCACGAAGAATGTGTAATGCGGATGCCTCACCACATAGATGAATCTTAAATATTCTTCAAACTTTTCTTTGAAACAAATAAACCAATTGAAAAAAGAAAAAATTAGAACCTAAAAAATTCAACCGATAACTGTACCTCGTTAGCAGCCACACCAAGTAATGCTCTTGTCCAAGCCCATCCTCTAGTTTCATCTCTTAACATTTGAATTTCGTCAATAACCGCGACATCGACCTGTACAGAAGTTGGTAACATTTCAACAGTGCAAGAAAGACGACTAGATGGTTCTGATTGCCCATAGGCATATCGTCGATCTTCACCGGTCACCAAATCACAAGGCACTCCTAAATCAGCATATATTTTACAGAAATTTGAAAAGGGAAGCGCTTAGCTATGAAAATATTCATACCATCATCATTCATTTTCATATAAATTTCAGTCGCAAGTAATCGCAAAGGACCGCAGTAGAAACCAGTCTTTGCTTCACGAAATCGCTTTAATGCTTCATATGTTTTACCACTATTTGTTGGTCCTAATAATTTAAAAATAAATTTAAGAAATTTCGAAGTTTGGCACAAAAATTAAATTTGCAACAGTATGGCAATATATTTCACTAACCGCAATGAAATATGACTTTCCTCTGGATTTCTCGGGCTAAAGGATACCAATTATGAGGTTTTGTTAAATCTGATATTATTTTAAGATCTTCCATACATTCGAGATGCGGAAACACTTTACGTGCATGAGTAAGGAAGTAAACAAATAAGCTATCAACACTTTGACCTGAATATATTTATTTTAATAATTCAGTTTTCAAACAGTCTAGAGCTAATAAACTTCTTAAATTTTAATATTTTAGCAATAATTTAGTTCAGCTAATTATTAAGAAAAAAATGTTTTCCTGACTTAATACAGAATAAACAAAATTTTCTATTGCAAAAATAAATATTTTTAAGTCGTAAATTCTCACCATTTGTCGCTATTTCTTTGAAAGTAATGGAAAGTTCTGGATCCAACGGCCTCGCTTTAAGGCAATACAAACGGAAACTCCTAAATGTAAAGAAATTTATAATAAAAATTTTCGTCATGTTAAGTTGCCCAAGACACAATATAGCAGCAGAAAAAATTTTGAAAACTTCAGCAATAATTTCGTTCATAATTAATGAATTATGAAATAAAGCATCATGTGAAAAGATGTGGTATTGAAACTTATGAAAAAAATATCTGTCAAATTATTATACAAAATTATTCAATATAATCATCACTTGTATTATCAAAAGCGAGAAGCCCATCCAATTAAGATATGAATAAGACAAGAAATTTTGACCGCATAGGTGATCTAGTAAAAGAATGGGTTTCGGTTACTTTCAGATGTGATATTGAGTTGGGAGCACGCCTCACCCTTGTAGTCAGTGATTTCAGTCTAACCAGTAATTACATTGCTAGAAGAATAAAGAAAAAAAATAAGACTTACTAATTGCCATTACAAATTATGAATAACAATGCTTTTATAAGCACTATAAAACTTTTTAAAACTCTAAAAATTGTCACTTTTTCCTACGCAACAATTAATATAAAAAATTTTATTTATTTCTTTATATTCATTTATTTATGCCATATTGCTTCAATCCAGATTGTGGAAGTTATTTCGCCCCAAAGTTTCGTAGTTTACGAAGACTGAAAATATAGCCGCAAAAAAGTAAGAAGAGAATACTATAAAATTACCTGAATGCTTTAATGAAAAGTTTTGCATTAATTCCGTTTTCAGCGGTTAATTCTCGAATAATTGGTTGTGTGCTGAATTTATTTAAAATCGAGGACATTTCTTCATAACCAATTTGTAATGCTTGTTCTTCCTAAAAAAAAGCTAAATGGAGTGAGAATTAGTCCACCATGTTTTATTCTTCTTATTCCTTCTTATCTTTTTTCTAATAGCATAATTTCTGGTTTGAATAATTCCGTTGTCTGCATTCTGTCAAGTAATTATATGGAGATAAAGATATAAATGGGTCTAAAACATAAGCCAGAAAGGAAAAGAGGAATGGAATAGAAAAGAAGAGGAATTTCTTATCATGAACCAAGTTTCTGTGAATTAAGGACTTATAAAGAATGTTGCATTATGATCAATTCAAATATAATGGAACACTACAGAAATTAAATTAAAACACAAATTAAAAACTTAAAAATTAGAAAGAAATCTTTAATATTACAAGGACAAATCTAAAAAGAAATATGAAGCAAGTTTGCGAAAGCTTAAAATAATTCAAAAATTACTTCGGTAACTTTTCCTGATGGTATTGGTACATCAATTGGTGGGATTATATCTTCGATTTTTGGACTTTTTCGAACTTTATTGTGCATAGTACGGGAGGTCTGAAAACTATTGCATCAAAATCTTTAAAATCCTTATTAAATATTTTCTAAGAAGGAAAAAGGCTTTTTTCTTTGAAAAAAATTCGGCAAAAATACCTAATAAACCAATTCAAATAATTCTATAGAAGAAAAATGAAACATCTCGAAATATATACAAAAACAGTCAAAATCAAAAACTGGTTAAACGCTATGCGCCAGTTAAGGAACTGGTTAAACGCTATACGCCAGGATTTACTTTAAAATAATGGAATAAAAATAATGACTCACTTTTCTTTCACGTGAAACTACAGAAGAGCGACTTGAATTTAATAACTGAGCAGTAGCCAAACATCGAAATGCGTTACTGATATATCGAAGATGACATAAACGGCGAACAATTTCAGCCATCGACTATAAAATTAATGAAATTAATTAGCATATAGACCAGTATACAATGGCTTTCCGATAAAATATAAAATAATATATGGAAAAGATAAGTAATTTTTCATAAAATATCGTTTCAGGAAAAAGGATATAAGATTGTATTAATTCCCCTACTAAGCGATAAATTAGATTAAGGAGGCAAGCTTCGAAATAAAAGAAGTGCGTAAATCAGCTCGAACGTAGTGTCAATGGATTTTGAATATTCTAATAATTTATCACCATTTTAGACCGCTAGATCGCGTATCGACTGCGGTGAAAACCGAATATCAATTAATGTAAATAAGATACCTTACAAAAAAGCTAACAAAATACACTCATACATAAACGTGTTTCCCGTTTCATACTTCATGCTCTTGTTCCAAATGGTAGGAATGAGAAAAGATAAAATTCAGGACAGATATGCTGCAGCCAGAGATGTTTCCTTACGTCTGAAAAAAACCGCGAATTCAACATTCACTGGCACCAAAGCCTTTATATATAATAAATACAATAAATGAGCATTTTTATCATGTTGGCAAAAGTGAGAAACCACTTGCAAAGAAAAGTCCGGGCTGCCAATGAATTGATGGAAAACCTTTTCTAGGTCCTTTTATTTTCGAAAGTTCTTCCTCTAATAAAAACCTGATGCTATCGGAGATGCACTCGTCAACTCTATAATTGAACCTAACCACCATGCTACATGCAAGCCCTTTTTTAATTTTACAACTTCTATCCTTGTACCATTCCCAGCAACAGATCTTTCACCAGAGAGTCGAATCGTCGCATATGTCCAATGTGTCCAAAGTAAGAGAATTAGCGCTTTCCTATTCGTGCTCCAGTTGAGAACTCTGCCTCGATTTATTCGATGACCCATCGGCTTGTCGGCAACATTCCCACTATATCAGAGTTCAACAGCATAAATAGTCTTTCTATTTTGCTTCCTTAAAGCCCAAGACTTCCAGGGAAAAAATAATCAGGAAAGACTATGGCTAACATAATCCCAACTTTTGCACGAATATCACCACGGCGTTCGAATATCTTCCCCACTGCCTCTTCTAGAAGCTCTGAACAGTGCTAATCATCGACATATTTCTGAATGCTGGTAGCTATTACTGATGACCGATCCTAGAAAGCAGAAGCTATCCACCACCTCGATATATTGACTAATTCTAAGAGAAGTCCACCTGTTTTCATTAGGCAGCTTTAAATTAGGTAGCTTTCTCTGTGTTTGGCTTTTGCCCCATCTTTTCGCTCCCTTAAAACTGAAGCTCGTTTGCAATCAGAATGCAATGTCAGCAGCACAGCGCGGGCGTCGATGTTCCCCCCTCCAACTAACGCACTCTCGCTTAAACTGCGTCCTCGTTGCGCCCTAATACTACTTACAATACCACCAACCGCCACTACAACTCGGAACGGCAGCTCAACAACCGCGAAGATCCCCTTAATTCATAGTGCCATAACTGGCAAAACTTTCTCGCACTCTCCACTTTATTCTCTATTACTTTAAAAAACTCTAAAATTTTTGAAACAACTTTTCTTGCGCTGCTTTTGTCCAAAATTTCTAAAATTTTCCTATAAAATTTTAAATTTAAACGGATTCGACTCCTCGCATCGCGACAAATCGACTAACCAAACCAGCTCAAGAGAATAAAAAATGGTGAAAATAAAATCAAACTTTTAACGTGGGTAAAAGCAAAGCCGAAGCTGCGCTCAGAGTTTCTTAAATCTCTAAAACGCAGCTCAGACGTTTATTTTTCCGCAATTTTTAGTTGACTTTTTTTACTTTTTGCTATTTATCACTGAAATTATTATTTTTATATAATTCTAATGTTATTTATTGTTCGTTGATTTTCGTGCAGTTTCGTTTGAAAAAAACTTAAATAGCGGAAAACCTGATTGCCACCGCGAGGAAAAAATACATAATATTTTGTTTTTTTACATTTCGCAAATCAAAAATTTTAAAAATTTCAAAAATTCAAAAACCTTTTAAAAATTCGCTCAAAGTGCAATAGAATAGTTCAGAGTATATGGAATATTCGAACTGTCTTAGTTCACGTTCTCCCTCTGAAAACTCATTTGATTTGTTTCCTGGGAGGGGATGAAGAGGAGAGCGACGGTTAGGAAACCCCCCTCTTGTGACTCTAAAGAGACATTTTTGATTTCCAGTCCACGGCAACCTGGAAATGCCAAGAAAATTGGGAATGAATAGTACTACTAAATCGATTGAGCTAATGATTTTCCATTACATTTGGAACATTCAACTTGAATGCTATAGAACAATTAACGCATTGAGAGACGAGAGATTTCGCCAGTGTCACTTGGTTTTTCCCACAGATTATTCTTTCCGGGAGTGGAACCCAAGCATCAACGTTTCCGAGTCGAGCGACAGTCCACTGAGCCATTCCACTCATCTTTGCTTTCTCCATTTGGTGATATTGCAGCCCGGTGAGGCGGGTCTTTGGTTGCACCCGAACTTAGGTCTCGATTCTCGGTAGTTCTTTTGCCACTGAGCCATCGGCGCATCCATTTTGGTTTAACTGGAATTTTGTGAATTTTAATGTGAAATTTTAACCAATTTATATAGATTTATATAGATACGAAAATTTTAATAATAAATACTTAGCGATATTTTTTCGGAAGAAATTTTATTTTTTTATTTTTCATTTTTTGAACAATTTTATATTCGGCAAATAGATAAATGAATAAATAAATAAAAATAATTAAATTAGGTGAATTTTTTTCGAGCAACGAAAATTATTTGAATTGTGTAATTTCATAAAATTTTTAGTATTCATTTTATAATTTTATAATTTTTAATATTCACAATATTTATAATATTCATTTACGCTTCCGTGTACATTTGTCGGCATTTATCAACATTCAGTACTTCCGTGTTTATTTTGCGAGGACGAATAGGGCTTATCAATGCAATCTGCTCGCACGTGGATGTAATGCTATTTGTATTTCAGCCAACTTCGCACAATTGGCCAACGTGCAGGCAGACTCTCGCAAATCTTTCGACTTGCTCCAGCTATCACATGTCTAAGAGTAACGAGCGACAGTCCTATTGTAGGGTATTTCATGATTATATCGCGCAAAAATAATTCCTATAATTCCCGAACAATTTGGGTCACAACCAGTGGAACCTTGCAGGTATGCCTAAAGCAACTCTTCAAACCAAAATGTGTGCTTAAAATTGTTTCAAAAAATCACTTTCTTAACCAATGTACTAGTTATTTCAGTAGATGTTTAATTTCATAAGGATGCTTTCTAATTCGAACCCAAGTATCGATTCTAGGTGGCAGTTATCTTGCCAGTGAGCACTAATTTTGATTTGATTGAAACGATTTGAATTTTAATCCAAGGCATAAATTAGGAAACGGAGGCGATAGCGTCGCTTATGTGATTTGTTTTTGGATTCTATATTCGACATCGTATATTGTTGATAATTGGTTCTAACTGTATTCTGCCACTCATGTTGACTTTGCTGAACTGTCATTGAGCATTGGAACTCCAAAGTTGCAAGTCCAAGCTAACTAATGATCAGTAGTGCTTTGGTAATTGAATAAACCTTTATTCTCCAGTAAAAATAAATATTTTACATGCAAAGTCGTGAAATACAATCCAAATCCACAAACTTAATCACATCGCGCGTTTCTAGGATTTGGTTCTAGGTTTCTTAGGATTTTGAAGAATTTCGCCACTCTTGCTACATCCAGGAATCTTCCTTTTCTCGCCACTGATGTTTTATTCGCATTCAGAATCAACGTTAACAACGGGCGAGGCATCGAAATACTCGACAAAGGAATATGCATCAAACGTTTATCTAATATCCAAATCAAACAAATGCCATCCATCGCCTATGCCGAGTTTCAGTGTTATGGTGAAATTTTTTTTAGGAGTCTTCACCACTACTGGTTTAACTCGCTCCACTGGTTTGTCGCATTGGGCAATATGCCATGGAGTCCCTTGGCGATAGAAATACAGGTGATCGCCAGCATCACCCGGACAGGTTTACTCCTGCCGGAAATCGAACCTCAGCATCGGCGCTCCTAATTGAGCAACAGCCCACTGAGCCACTCCATCCCCATGGTGGGATTTGGTGTGGGAACCATAGTAAAGTGTGTTAATGCGCAGTTTAAGAAGAAAAATTTATTTTTAATTTTTTAATTTTTAATTTTTATTTATTTTTATCAATAAATTTTATTAATAATTATTAATTATTAATTATTAATTTATTGAATTATTCGATTTATTTTACGAGCATATTTGAAGAATTTTTCGCAATACTTTAGTGATCCCTTTCGGACAATAAGCATATCCAATGTCTGAGAAATTGCCTGCCATTGGGCACAAATGTTAATTCGCGTTTATCGAAGTTGGCTAACTGAATTGTTCAAATTTTCTTAAAAGATTCCGATTAAAATCTCCGATCTGAAAAACAAATCTTAGAGTCCACGTGAACGTAGTAAAATAATTTATCACTTAATTTACGATAGGCAAAACGTGAACACAGCTGCTTTTGGTTATAGCGATCTTTGCCATTCTAAATCTAAACTTCTCTATTTATCTTAATTGTAATTAAATCGTGAAAAAGAGGTGAAAATTTTATGAAATAGGATTAAATAAATTTTGTATGACCATTAATTTTTCTTAATATTTTTCTAATATTTCTTCTTTGGATGTTTTTTATGAAATATTTTTTCAATAATATTTATTAATTTTTCCGTTGGAAAAAGTTTTAAAACTTGTGTTCAGATTTACAACAAACTTTTATTGCTATTGTTTTACAAATAATTGAACAAATATGCAATGTATAGCAAATATTTTAAGTGAAATTTAATGGTAATATTTTTTTTCACGGTATTTACATTAATCATCTGTGTTTCGACTCCACTTCTATTTATATTGTTGACCGTATCGGAATGACGAAATAGTACGTGCGGAATAAGTCACACCATAAGAATTCTCTGAAATCGGGAATATTTTTAGTAAAGAAATTTGTAAAGTAGGTTATAATTATTTAAAAACGCAAGTACAAATATACATTACATTTTTGCTATCAATATCTCTAATATCTTTATTCTTTATTTGATATGCTCTTATTTTCCTTAAGTAGTACTATCTTATTTGGTCATTTTCATTAACTTCTAAAGTGAGATTCTTCGTTAGGCAATTACTTGGGAGTGGATGCAGAGTGGGTCTTTTGAAGTCCCATTTTAGATTTCATTTTCAAAAATAAAATCCATGTTACTTTTTTTTAGCAGCAACAACATATGGCTCAAAAAAATTAAGAAAAGCTAACGATCTCGATTGTTCACTTGAAATCGTTTTGTTGGATAGTAAGCGTGATTTTTTTCTTGCATTAGTTGTTTCTGTTCATATTGCTGTTGTTGGTGTCTTTGCCAGTATTTCTTTTGTTTCTGATGTTGCAGGAAAGTGGCATTAAGAACGTGCTCTGATGTTTGTTCAGCATTTTGTGCTTTCATTTTGCAACGTTCCTTGAGCATTGGCTTATGGTAAAGTAAGCCTCGATTGCTATGAACTGTGAGCCAACATTTTTCACACAGATAGAGCAAACAAGACACTTCAGCGCAAAAATGATGGGTATAAACTGATTGACAATTTTCACATTGCGCAAAATCCAGTAAAAATGGTTTCATTTCCATCGGAAAAAAGGTTTATTATAAAGTTCTCAGAAAACTAATTTGAAGAAAACCGAGATAATTTTGCGTTTATTATAATTTAAACTTCTTTGAACTTAATAAAAAAAAACATTCTTCTCGAACATAAAATCGAATTAACGAGTTAATCATACTTCTTTCTCCTGATCAATTTTATTGATTGTAATCATTCTCATTGCTATCGCAATTAAGTATGATTCTCGATTTTTAAATACAACTCGAGCTGCGCCTTTCGGATATTGTGTATCCGAATCGAGCTCCAAAGTTACTGATGATACGTTTCCAATGGTTTGTTGAATAACTACAGCCAATTCTCCTGCAAAAGTCAATATAAAAAAAAATATGTGGGGAAAAAATTATGGCTATTGAATACTAGAGATTTTGAAAGTATGAACTTCCAGAAATTCAAAAATTGAATTACTTGCTGATGTCGTTCGTGGAACTCCACCAACGAAAACTGAATAGCGATCATTAATTACTGCTTCAGAGATTCTATACTCCTGTTCAGAAAGTAACCATGGTCTAACTTGCACCTGAAAATAACCTGCTTGGTTCCAATATTTGAAAATGGGATGTTAAAATAAATTTAAAACTTTGCAATTTTGCAATCATAAAACTTTAAAATTAGAAATTTTACCATCTTTAAATTTTTTCCTTTATTTTTTAGAATAATGTTCAATTTTCCCTGACACATAGTGCAATTTTCAATGAGAATTTGAACCGACGATTCTTTCTCAAACACCACAAATGCATATCCTTAAAATCAATAAGAGAATTTACTTTAAGAGAATTTGAATTATTTATTAAATTTTATTAAATTTTAAACTAGTGTTTCAAGTATAAACTAGTATTTGTAAATAAGAGAAAAAAACAAGCCATTTGGTGGTATACTCTTATTCTGATCGCGATGAGGCCAGTCTACTGTTGCTGTTCCAAATTGATTAAAAAATTCTGTGATCGTATCTGCAGTTCAGAACAGGTCAAACTTATACTCACAATTCTAAGTTTTCAAGTAATTTCGGTCTAAATGGTTTATTAAACAAAGAAAATTCCAATTAATTATTCTTCTAATCAAGCATTAATCCATATTTGGTCGAAAATATGCAAACGATATAAAAAGCGATATAAAAAAAAGCTAATGTGAATTCGCATATAATGTTGCCAAATTCTCATCAGAGATCTTGATGGAGAAAATAATTCACTTGCTGTAACACCATGAGGAAGGCCACCCACAAAAACTTTTCTTGAAAAAACTGGTGCAACAAAATTTCCAGTTTCATTCAACTTTATTTCACTCGTCGAAGTATATCCGAAATTCTTATTTCCGGGCTTAAATGCTAAAATATACTTGTTACTATGTAGCGATAATCGAAAAAATCGCCAAAAAAATAAACTGCAGAAATCGAGAGAATAATACAATCGCAAATTATAGGTATTATAAGGTAAGTGAAATGCTTAGAAGGCTAACATTTTGCGAGTGATGTTGTATTCAGAGAGAAATTCCCGTTTTCATGAGTTGTTCTTTCGATTGAACCAATCGCATTTTGCGTTAAAAATGGATCATGTAGCGCATAATCAAAGAGTCGGCTTAAATTTTCTGCAAAAAAAAATGTCATGGAAATTTGCAAAACTGAATGCTTTCTATATCATGATTTTTCTTTTCGTCAGCTAATATACTGGAATTTATAAGAATTGTTATTGACTTATCAACCACTTATAGGAAATTTCCGCACATATTAACAAATACAGTTTGACTACTTGTCATTAAATGTACTGCATGAATTTCGTCTCTATTATCCACACCATGATAACGGTATATTTCATTTCATTTAATTGGAATTGCAGTTAAATAAATGATTGGCAGTGATCGTTTTCCGACTCGTGCCACTGTTAATTAGATGTTTTGCTAGAGAACCTATCTCTGGACAGAGAGCATAAATTTTTCGGCACTACCTAAAATTTTCCAAAGACCAGCAGTAGACCAGGGATAAGTGGCTGAGCCATGATGCTAGAAATAATAATCTAGTCAACATTCACTCGCTCATACTCCCCCATGTCGATTGTTGCAATTCTTTGATCGATCTTATTATTATTGAGTCAACTTTACTGACCTGCAGTTCCACTCTGCAGTCTTTTGAAGTTCCTCAACTCAGAATCGAAGGGCATTTCAAATTATAACAATAATGCTGCAATGAAAAACACGGTTTATATTTTCTCAGCTGCGAAAAAGCGAGAGTGAAATGAGTTGACATGTGCGAGCAGTTCTCATCATAACAAAAGCAAAGGGTTCGCTTAAAGCAAGTGACTGATGTAGCACCATAGAAATATGCCGTCCAGTGGCTTCGGCCGCGACCGGTTATGCCGAAGGGATTTCGCAACAATGTTCGCAATATGGAATGAAACTTCTGGCAAGCTTGGACTTAGAGAAAAGAATTCGTCAAAGATGTTCGGACAATCGAGGGCCAATTTATCAGCTATTTGAACGTAGAAAAAAACGGTGATGACGTCAGCTTATTGCGAAATCGTGAACCACGTGCGGAAATCTTTTCTGTGGCAATTTTGACACTAAATAAGAAATAAATAATTGGATATATCTTTTATTACTTTTTATAAATTTATATATTTTATATTTATATATTTATATTTTATATTTATAAATTTATAAATTTATATATTTTTTCATTTTAATAATAAACAAATAATCAAAAATAAGTTTCGGAAAATCAAAATAAATTCAGAAGTAAGTAGTTCAGAAGTAAGTAAGTAAGTAGGTGACAAGAGGGGATTAAGCAGAAAAAATATGCGAAAATTAGCGAAAAGGTCAAACTGGTGTAGCAAATTTTGCTGCAAATGAATGAAATGATAAAATGAGGCAGCCAGTCTTGCATAAGCGATGAAAAATATGAAGAAATCAGAGATGCTTGATTTTATCATAAAAAATGATGGGAATTGCCAAAAGGTCAAATTGCAATTTACGCAAAAATATTGAAAATAGGAATAAAAGTGGGAATTTTGTCATAGAAGTGAAAAATTGACGAAAGGTCAAATTTGAATGCCAAACTTTATCATCGAATGAGATGAAATATGCCAAAAGGCCAGCCGGAATTTAAAAATTGTGAATAGCTTCAATACCAAATTAATCCATAAAAATAATCTTCTTGCGCGCCATTTTCGCTTGCGTTATATCGCACACAACGGTGAGAGCTTTCTGGCAGCGAGTCAAAGTACCACAGCAGAAGTTCCAACGACGGCGCTGCCAGGTGACATTTGAGCCTTAGATTGCCCTATAATTGGTTCGTTTTTCCCCTTATTACAGCCCTCATTGAATTAAAAGAATCGAAAAACGAGCAACCACTGGAGAGCAAGCATCGAGACAACATGTCGCCGAACTACCGTATCGTATAGCACCGCCTATATTACTGTACTGGTTTTTGCAGATTCTCTCGAGATTTTGTGCTTCTATGTTTCACAGTACAGCTAAAAATCAAAATCGAAATTTATGGTAAAATTTGAATTTTACTGCTAGATTTTGGCTTTTAATTTTAATTTTTAATTGCCTTAAAAGCATTCATTCAATCACGGAATCCTGGAATCAATATAATTTTCTAAAGTTTTTAATGTTAAATTGAATGGTCTCGAAACGATAACTTGCATTACTATCTTGCAGATATTGTGGGAATTTTTTGAAATTATTTTTTATAGTTAATTTAATGATTGGTACTTGTTTATAAATGCGTTAATAATTTTGTGAATAATTTTGTTTCGACAAAATTAATTTAATTATGATTTTTCATTAATTTTGTTGGCCAATTTCAATTTCACACGCGGCCCCGAACGGCCCGGAACCCCTGCAGGTTCGCTATTACGGTAGCAAAATTTGTCGCTGTCGGTGATTTTCGTCCCCTTTATATAACAGTTTTTCTTGGGAGTTTGGTGATTTATAGTGACAAACTACAAGAAATTATCAAGAACAAAAAAAAATACGTAGAAAAGAAAATTTATTTGAGAAGAAATTATTCTTCCGAAAATATTCATTTCCGGTTTAGAGAGAATGAAAAAGTGGGAGAGTCACTGGTAAATCCCGAAGAACATGGCTAAACATGACGTTTTGCAACGATTTATTAATGCAAATGAACGAAGGTGAATGCAGTCATGTAAAACTTTATCCACTTAACTGGTACGTAGGATACCTTAGACGATTTTGTTCAAAAGCAGATAACTTCTCGAGATCTTCCACTCTCATTGGATCCGCAGTCGTATGGAAGGATTATAAGGATCGTATACTACAGTTTTTATTTTGAGGTTGGTTTCGCGATGGTTCCATAGAGGTTTCGTTTGACAAAAGAAGGCACCTTTGGCTGTAATTGGAATTTCATCTTTCAGCTTTCCGTTAGGTATGAGAGTGCATTCATAATATTCAAAATCTGACACTTGAACCTTCTTCTTTTTCTCACCGTTACTGGTTAGGCTGGCTCCAACGGCTACAAGGGTAAGATGCTTCCAAGTGGCGCGATCTGATACCATCGTCGACAGTAATGTAAGCCATCCCTTTTTCCATCATCTAAGTCCATATATTGCTGGTCCACCTATACGTTCAAAATCTTTCTTGACCGTATCAGCCCAGGTCTTGATTGGCCCACCTCTCTTTTGATGCCAACTATCACATCACACGGTTTAGCAAATAACGAAATATGCGTCGACTCCTGTGGTTGACGACGGAGAATATGCCCTAACAAGCAAAGGCGGCGCTCTGTGATAACATTATTTATGCAAGTGGTATTTGAACGAAGATGGATGCGATCTTGTGATATCTTATCCGCCCGATGGATCCGTAATATGTACCTTAGACAAGAGTGGTCAAAGGCAGATAACTTCTTAATATCCTCTACTCTCATTGGCCATGTCTCAGAACCATATAATAAGATCGAACGGATCACTGCAATATAGATGCGAACGTTCGTTTTTATGGTGATTTCACGACGATTCCATAAAGGTTTCGTCAACCGGAAGAACGCATTTCTAGCTGCCGTGATCCGAGTTATAATATCATCTTTTGCCTGACCATTTGGTATTAGAGTGGACCCAAGGTATTTGAAATCGGGCACTTCCTCAAGCGGCAATGAATTTAAAAAAAGAGGCATTTTACCAGCTTCTTGCACATAAGACGAAAAGACTTTTTTTTATTTACATTGATCCTGAATCCGATTCTTGCTCCAGTTTCTGACACGTTATTTAATATTACTTGCATTTCGTTATAACTATCAGCAAAAAGGACTATATCATCAGCGTATTCAAGATCTGTGATGCGATGCAATTCGGACCTCTTGAGTGCCAACAAGCAGTATCCATTATCCAGTCTATCGCATAGTTGAATGTTGTGGGGGAAAGGACGACACTTGGACTATTGATGAATTTGTTTGAATTATCTTATCTTATCTTATTAACGTCTGGTAATAAGACGAAAAGAATTTCGTCTTATTTACTCTGGTTTGAGAGCAAATTTTCGTTGGTGCTGTTGGCCTAGCGTCTGTTGCAACTGTAAGCGATAAGGGCTGCATAATCAGCATCTTCAATGCCATACTATAAACTGATTTGTATGATTTTCCAGTGAAAATTTGGTTACAATAGTCACTTTTTGGCCTAAGTCCGGCTTGATTAAGATGCTTTTACGCAATGCCATGAATTTATTCATTAAACTAGTTAGTTATAATAAACTTCCTTAATTTTTAATTTAAGAAATGATTTTCTAAGTTATTTTTATTAATTTAGCAATTTCGCTTAGTTTTATGAAGTTTATATTTTTATTTTATTTAAATCTAAAATTATTTTAGAATTTCATCAGTAAAAAAGAAATTTGTTAAGAACTGCTGCAAAGATTCATCGACATTTTGAAATATTCTGACTTATCAGAATTAGAAATACAGGTGAATAACAATTGAGTCAGTTTAATGGGTTGTTTTCCACTGAATTTTTGAAAGACAGGTTTATTTGAACTACGAGTAGAATCCAGCATTAATGTTCTGAAATGAGTGTAACAACCCACTTTCGAGCCGTATCAGCATCATAAATCACAGAGTAAAGAAAATTTCGTTTTTTACAAGATTTGAGTTTATTAATTCGTAAAAGAAATTTATAAAATAATTGGATAGAACGTCAATGATTTTAAGCCAATGATAATAGATTATATTATTTTTATATTATTTAAATATCAAAATTAACTTGAATTCAATTAAGGCAAAATTATTTTAATGTAATTTATTGATATCCGACTCTCTGATATTTGATCTACTCAGATCTCAATCTACCAGTATTTACTTTATTTTAAGAATTTATGGAACAACAACGAGTAACAAATGATCGTCAAATAGAAAAGCCAAGTGGTTTTTTTCGCAAGTGCGTTTTTATTTCTTCCTTTACTTTATACCTTTCTTTGATTATTGATTCATTTTATTTCTTTTATTTTTGAAATATTTTTTTTAAAAATTGTTTTTAATTGCATTAGCATTATCAATCAATTATTTATCAATATTTATTTTTAATTCACTTATAATTGAAAATAACAAATGAATAAATAATTAATAAAGATTGAATTAATTATTAACGAAGAATTATTTTATGATATTTCTTTCCCCAAAAATATTTTGCAGAGAAAAAGTTCTTAGTCATCAGAAATGTTATATATTATATACAGATTGGCTGATACAAACTGAAGATATACTGAAGATTCATTCGAGAATATTTGCTGTGCATTTGTTTTTCAGGTACTCATCAGCATTAATATTGAAATAGCTGGTGTGATCGAGAACATTTGATGCTGCAGCCAAATTCCGACAGCCATAATCCTCCGATAATTCGCAAACATAAAAAAATTTAATTTAATTTTACTGATTTACAGTATGATTTAAGTAACTTATGGTTTATTATTATTAAAGTTTTTTCCTATCCTAAATCTTATTTTGTGTTGAAATTATGTACATTTTTAGAAACCATAAATAAGCTGTTTCTACCATTTTTGATTGGTCTTTGTCCAGTATGTAGGATGGAATAATTATACCAAAAAATTATCTAGGTGGATCTTCTGCAGGTTTTTTATTGGCAGATTTTACTCCCGCCAGAAACTGAACCACAAACCACACTATATGGCAGAATAGGCAAACGCCATGATATTCTGCCCATTCTTCTTTTATATAAAAAAATAAGTTTTGTCTAAGGTTCTATCCTAAGAATGAATTGTTTAAAAAAAGCGTAGATTGCAAGCACTTTTGTATGCTATTTTAAAAGTGCAGATTTTCAGAGAGTATTTAAGCTGAATGTAGGATTATGACCAAGTAAATCCACGTATCAAATATGTCCTTAAAATGCTTATTTTATTAATTAGTTAGTTAAGAAGATATACTTTGAATGAATCTCCTTTATCCATATCATTATCGTAATGTATAAGGTGGCGATAGAAATAAGGCTGTCGTTCTGCCATAGATTTTGTAACGAGCAGACTATTTGGATCCATTGAAGCTGGTACATTCGTCACCTACGTTATCCGTTATTACTGTTTTATTAGTAATTCAATAACTTTACAATTTAATTTTAATTGGCCAAAGATCTTGAAACGAAATTCTGGAAGCACTATTATGATTATTATTATTGTTTTCAAGGTCATTTCTGTTATGGAGTCTTTTCTATTAACTCTTAGAATTAAATTTAATAGCAAAGGTGCGAATGACCCAAAAATTTGGAGAATTGTTGCATAAATCGTTAATTTTTTAGTGCCTATTAATAAAAATAAGAAGAAAGCCGATCATTTCTAGTTAGAGTCGGTGGCTTGTCCAGAAAAGTTTATCGAAGAGTCATTTGGCACTACAGAAGAGCACTACACCAGCACTACCCTAAATTCATTACCCGAATTTTTGAACGAATCTTGTCGAACGAAATCCCAGCATTCCCATGCACTCAGAGATAACTCAAAAATAATTGAAGCCTTTTAACTCTCATTTAAACATGTATATAGATTGTAGGTACTTACAAGGTCATTTCGGTGGACGATCCGATATCTGAATGGTACTTGTTGTTCCACTGCTCTAGCAAAAGCTACATTACCAGTTCTAGGCTCACCGAAGGTCACCAAGCGGATTCTATTCGCAGGAAATATTGTATTATTTGCAAGATATAAAGCAGTTATAGATGCCAATGAACCACCCAATGAATGTCCTGTCACCTGAATAATTTGGTTTTGAACTGAAAGCTTTTAGTTTTTAAGGCTTTTAAGGTTGCTAATATCGCTGTAAGTAACTATCAAAAGTTGATTTAATTTCATTTTTATATTTTTCATACAATCTTTACTCCTTAATATATTTTAATGTTTGTTACCAATTTCGCGACTTACCCAAATTTTATAACCCGGATATTTTTCCTTGAGTTTGCTGAGTTCCTTCCTCATATCCGTTCCTTTAAATAAACGTTCAAATGCTCCATGAAAATATGTCATAATTCCTCCACCAGATTCAAACTTTTCCCATGCGCCAAGTTGTGCAGCAATGCTATGGATAAACTGAAATTTTAAGGTTCTTTCATTTACCTTAGGATTTTGCAATTTTTATCATTCTTAGCATTCTTATAAGTAAATGCATCAGTAATAGAATTTGAAAAATTCATTGATTGGTATATTTTATTGTTTAGTTCTATTATCAGTTTAAACTTAAAATCAACGTTTTACTTCAGTAAGCAATTGTTTATCCATATTTGATGATTTATATACGATATAAATACTCTTTGCTGCCTCAGATACAACCAGCATTCCGGCACATAAATTATGCGATTGGTCGCATTCAACTTCATATCTCTTTATTAATCTGATAAATAATAATATAATAATTGGAAAAAAATTTAGAATAAATTATAGAATAAATAGAATAAATTATTCTAGAATTAAGGAAATAAGCAAATTCGACAAACTTTATGTCTGGTCGACTATTTGCTAAGCACTCCACTGGATCGCTTTCTTTAACGGCTAATACTAGAGTATAAAGTGATCGGCCAAGTTTATCAGTATAACGTTTTCCTTTCTCATTTGATACCTTTGTTGGGCACATAAAAGCCTCTCGTTGCACAATACCACTACCAGGCGTACATGCGAACGGTCCTCCACAAGTTTGCGATTCGACGCACCATCTTTAATAAGATTTTTAAAAACTGTTAGTGATTAGATTTTAATGTAATAATTAAAGTATTCGCGAAAATTTATCAAGTGAAGCTTTTAGTGAAGCGAGAGAGTTAAATCCGGATAAGACAATAATTACCTGCAATATTCTTTGAAGCCGAGTACATAAATATGAGATTCAGAACAAGTTTCGCAGGTCTTTAAATCTTTGCATAATGCCACGGAACCACTTTCAACTGCATTTGTGAATAATATTAGAAATAAAAATATTAATGAAATCATCTGAAAAGTTTTTCAAGAAAAGATTTTCTTGATTTAAATTTAAATTGGCATATATATATAGAAATCACAATAAGAGGTATGATGTTCCAGAATTGAAAGCGTCTTCGAACCCGTAATATGTTCGGTTTCTGCCCCACGTAGGAGTGGAACTGTCGTTAAAAGATTCAGGTGCTGCGGCTAACCTGAGGCGGCCGTCTAGCGAAAATTTCTGAGCGTACTAGTGGAACTGAATAGAGATGGAGAGCGCAAATCATTTTTCTAGCTACTTGGAATAAATTTTAAGAAATCCTTGCAAACTGCTCATTAAAATTAAAGTTCTAAAAAATCATTGAGGAAAATTTCGTGATTTTTAATGAAAAACAAGTAGCGCTTTATAGCAGCAAGAACATAAACTATTTAAAAAATTCGGACAAATTTCTCCTTGTATTTTTTTCTTCATATAGATAAAGTACTGATGGATAGATCGTTGACAAAAATGCACGAATTCGAAGAATAACGAAGAATTTCAGTGATTTCAGTCACACGGGTACAATGGAAAATATCACCTACATTTTTCATACTGAAACGTCTGAAAATGAAATAAGGTTATTAGGACTGTCAACTCGCTAAAATCCTATCAATGACAAAATTTTATCTGTTGAGGCTAAAAAATTACTGGAAACGACTAAGAGAAATTAATGTCAAAGAAAAATCAAAGAAATAACTTGAAAGTGGGTGAAAGAGGGCACGAAAGGCCACAAGTCCTATTTTGCTTCGATTAAGCAGCTCATGTCTTGTTGACAGGAAAGAGCATTCCCATCAGTAAAGCTGATAATGGTGACCGATTTGAATCACCATCCCGAATGGCTTTCTGGTGAAATGATCTCAGCAAACTGGAATTAGCCGAAATATAAACTCTGAATGCTACCGTAATATAAAGAGGGAAAAAACGAGGTGAACCTTATTTTGGCTTTTTCACGAGAGGATCTCAGGATGTCGCAGATCGTTTGACTGTTGCCAGGTCTCACTTTTGAGAGCAAGGTTGCTCCTGTCAAGAGATATAAGTCGATTAACCGTTAAGTATTCATATCCTGAGGATTTAACTTACTGCTAATGGTTATTTGTTTATAAGAAAGCTCTGAAATAGAATCTCTTTCCTTCCCCTCCTTCCTTTCCTTTTCTGAATAGTTTTCTAAATAGTAGAATTTTCTAAATAGTTTTTCAAATAATAAATTTTGAAGGATAAATATATAATAAAAAAGATAAAAATCAATGATATTTCGCAAAAATTAGATCAAAATGGTGTTGGGTAAGGTCATCGAGTGATTTATGCCGAAAGATTTGCGTGATTTTTAGGTCAAATTTGGTTTGGGCTTGGTGGTGGACGTGGCCTGCACAACTATCGATGCATCGAAATAAAGGCAAGTCGACTGCATTTCATACTAAATAGTCTCGAATTCTTTACGGCGATGAAACTGCTTACTTCAGAAAGGTGTCGTGCTGTTTTTCATTTCCCCGGGGTGCACTTTCCAAACCAAAACGTTCGATAGGCCCAGCCCCACTTGGTCAGACAAGAAAAACATCTATTAGTCGTCCATCAGAAAAGCCCACTAGAGGTCTATTGAAAGCCTATTAAAAGCCCTATTCAAAAGGCTATTAAGGAGCAATAAGGGATTTCTGTGAAATTAGAATTCATCGAAAACGCTTCAATCAGAGACGAAGGAACAAGTAGGAGAACTCAGAAAACAGAGATCGAATCTACAAATCACGCACTTTTTCATTATATTTTTATATATTTTCATAAAATGCGAAAATGTTTTTAAAGTGTAAATGGAGTTTTGATTTGATTTGAATTTTTACGGAATGCGTAGCGATTGAATGAAAGAATGCTTCTTCCAACACCATTCTCCGCTTTTGGCTGGTTCCATAGGCTGCTCGGATAAGGTCTCTTCTCCAAAAATCACTTAAGGATGGAAATTCATTTTAAGCAGCAGCAGTGCCTGGAACTGAGGCAATTCCCAGAGATATGTATAGTTCAAAATAACAAATCTAAGCTAATAATTTTTTTCTAAGAATTCACCATTTCTTGCCTCCTTCGCCCTACTGGCTTCTCAGACCAAACCAATTTTTGTCAGAGATCACTTGGTCACTGCACTCACAGTACGAGCAAGTCATTGGTATCACCTGGAACTTTGAGAAATAGATTTACACAAGTTTACATCTACTGATCTCCAGAAGCCCAAAATCGAAATAAGACCAAAACCCACTGAACCATTTTCCACCTTATTAAATTAAAACATTGATAAAGTATATAGAAAAATGGTAAAGGTTTTTCTGTGAATTAACTCATAAATAAAATATCTTTTATAGCTCTTTCATAAGCTCTTCTCAAGAACCACTGCAAAAGGTCAATTTAAGGTCATTTAACGAATTTACAGAGATGAAATAAGATTAAAAATTGATAAGAAAATTGGCTTATGAGTAGTCGTCGGATTAATTGTGTCAAATATTTCAGAATAAGTCATTGGACTTATTGTAATAGATTTTCTAAAAATTTTCGTTAATATTGATGGGTTTTGCCATTTCGCCAAATTACTTGCCAATTTATCAGTTCAAGTAATACTGGAAAGATCAGAGGGCAAATTCTAGTTTATTCGTCAAAGAAAAATACCTTTTCCCTAAATCAATAAACATTGAAATCGATCAACAAAAATATTAAAAATTGTTGTCTCATCGGAATTTTTTAAATTGAAATTCCTATTTAAAAAATTCAATTAAATGCTTTTTATTTAATCTTATGGAAATTTTTTCCTTTGAATTAAGCCTCTCGATTAATTTTAAAATTAAATTAATAAATATATAATAAAATAATATAAAATGTCGATAAAAATATAAAATGTTGATAAAAATATAAAATGTTGATAAAAATATAAAATGTTGATAAAAAACAAAAATCACTTGTGACATAATAAATGTTATCAATATTGCCGATTTTCTCCCAAATTTTTCTTTCCATTTTAGATAAATAAAGATATATTTTTTTAAGATACATTTATTAACTATCTTTTGGCTAATTAAACTTGCTCTGCTCACTTACTGGCCCAGAAGAATTCTGGCCAAGGAGCGATAAAATGCATGCTCATTAGCACCATCCGGAACCAAAGTTAACCTTGCGAAGAGAACCCCAGTATCGATGCTGCAAAACGAGAGCACGAATCCACTGAGCCAAAACACCCTATGTCATAACCATAACGAAATATTGCACTCATAAAAAGAGCGTAAAATTCTCCTAAAGATGAGTTTAAAGACGGTCCAAGTCCATAAATAACTTGCGATCTTCTCAGAATTTGTTAGATTCTCGTACTTCCCCTTAGAATTCAACCAGACTGTTCTCACACTAGCCAAATCCTACCCTACAATCATTCTATAATCACAGTAAATTTTTCTTAACTGCAGCTCTCGTATATCTTTAACGATTACAGTCGTTTTGCGCCTAACTAAGGGATTGCTTCTTCGGCTAAAGCGAACAACTTTAATGCGATTGCAGAATCTTTTGGTTGGAATAAATCTGAAATTATCTTTATTTGCATGACTTTAAATGAATTTTGTAGTGAGAAATTTTGCGCCGAAAGCGCTTTTACACGAATTTGTGCTCGCTCTTACTTGCCTTTCACTCATTTTTGAATAATGAATTAAAAAAGCAAATTGTTGGCCAGCATTTCTGGCTGAATCAGCTCCACTAGCTTTTGCGCTAAGAAAAAGAGTCGTTTGGCGACTAAAAGTGCAGGTGAGCGAGTCGCGAACATAAATTGAAATGCGAAATTTTAGATTATAAGCCTACACTTGTCAACAACAGAAGCCGAATCGCCGTCTCCCAATAGATAATCTAAGCCGCTATCTACTCGGCTATCATATCCTTCATTCTGAATTAAAACCTAAGTAATTTGGAAGAATTTATTATAACATTTACTTTTTGAGTCTTTAAACTTTTTGTTATTATTTTAAAATCCGCTTTTAAGTTTCAAATTTATTTTTAGCGAAATTTTCAAATGGGAATAATCCAGTAATAAAAATAATAACAGAAACAAATGAACGAATGACACATTTCGATGAAATTGCAAAGTATGTCACCATGATTTATTATCTTAATGAATCGCTGTTTTCCTTGTATTATGGAAGGTGTAAGCAAATTTCTTGATGGGCGTCTAAATCTGCCATTTAAAATAAAATCCAGGTGGTGCTAGGCACCGGCCTGCACTATCCTCAAATGACTCTCAGCTAAAGGAACTTCTTTCCAATGCCGTTGCGATCAGGTAAGCGAAAAATGACGAGTGATGTCAGAAAAAGGCGAATTATTCTTTAAGAGGAACAAAAATATAGATCTAAGAAATTCATTCTTCAGTGATAAGTGATCTGTAGTGACATCGCGGTGATAATCTTTCTACTACTTATTTATTTTCGATTGACTAGTTTCATTTTATATTTATTTTATCTAAATCCTTTCTCAGCTGAAGTCGTCGTTTTTCAAGTTGTTCGTGACCTTTGGCATAAGCAGAATATTAAATATTTTAGATATATCGAAATATTCTGACTTGACAAATCAACAGTGTGTTCTGTTCACGTTTCCTAACTTATTAACTTATCGGTTTCCGCATTTTCTATAATTTATTTTCTTTACACTCAAAAAAGTCCTTTTCTAATCACGTAATTATTCGTGACATTATCAACTGCGGGTTTTTGTTGATTTATCCACTTATACTTTCAAATAATTTCTGGTGAGCAATTTTAACAATCGGATGATCAAACTTAATAAAAAATAGTGAGTGTTAAATCATATCATTTATCATAAATCACTTTTACCAACAGTTTTTAATTGATTTTTGACTGATTTCATTAATAATTGAAGTATCGATCATTAGAATTTTTAATATTTTTTGGTATTTTTCTATTAAATAAAAAATTTGAAATTTAGGTTGAAATTCTCATAAAATCATTTTTCAGAGAAATAGTCATCAGCTGAT